CTCCAGAATTTGCAGTTACATTCTGACTCCACATATTCCCTACTCCCTGGTTTCAGAGGAGGGTCCAAATCTCTTTATTTTCCAAATTGATCACTTTGAACCCTGACATTTTTGGGTCCCAGACTTTAACAATAAGCCTCAGTCCTCTTTACTATCTCAATCATTTCTGCCTACCATCTTTCATTCTTCTCAGAAAAAGCTCACTTTATGGGCTGATACCTGGAATCCTAGTGGTCATCAGAAAATGGGTTTTAATACTTGGCAGTCACATGCATGCTTGATATTTCCCAATCTCAATGCCTAGGATGACATATGCCCTCTGTCTTGTAACCAGAAAAATGTCATTTGTCCTCAGACTAAAGAGATCATGGAGAACTGTTTCAGCAATAGATATGGAGCAAGGAAGCATTATTCTTTCCTATGCCTGCATGGAACAGCAACTGAGGTTACAAATAATACTCCCCTGTTTTCAATCTTTCGATGGCTTTCTATCACAAACTATTTTGTGGACTTAGGGAAAAATCAAAACATATTTCCTGTCTACAGGATTGCAAAAGCTCTATTCACATGATGTGGCCCTCACTAAGTCTCCATTATTATTTCCCACCTCTCTCTCCCTCCCCCACTACACTCCAGCCATGGTGTCTTACTGCTGTTCTTCAAACATAACAAGCACTTTCCCATCACAGGGCTTTTGCACTTGCTGTTCCCCCACTCCTCCTAAAGATCTTCACACAGATACTTGATGGTTAACTCTCTTACATTATTCGGTTTTTCATCCAAATGTCACTTCCCTGGAAACAATTTTGCTGACCACCCTAAGGCAACAACCAAATATCAGTATCTGCTTACTTTGTGTTGTTTGTCTTCACAGCAGTAATGACTTTCTGGATTTTTATATGTGTTTGTTTATGCATATGTGTTAGCATATAAACTCCATGAAGGCTGAGGTTTTGTCAGTTCTCTTTATTGTTGTATCTATGGTACCTAGAATGGTGCCTGACAGAAAGGTTCTATATAAATGTATGTTAAATGAAGGATTTGACCAAGGAGTATCATCAAAATTCCTGTTGCCTGAGGTCAGCCAGTAGCTGACTTCTCTGTTGCCCCTTGCTTTCAAGCAGCTGGTTGAGTAATTGCATTATACACATTGGGTGGCCAAGTGCCATTCTGAGAACTAATTTTCTAGTTTTAAAGAAACTATAAAATTGATCTGAAGAAACTGCTAGAGCCAACAGTAATTCAGGAATTCATCCTACCATCTGAGCACTAATTTATTGACTTTCCTCTGAAGATGGGTGCTAGACCTTTGGCAAACAATGGCAGCAAATCACAGCAAGAGTTAAGACCTATCTTGCCTTAGCACTGCTATATTCCTATGGTCAAAAGTGTTTCATAGTATAATCACATCCTCTTGTTTAAGTGGCATATACTTAGGATTGTTATTTTTCTTTAGCATACACATAAACAGGGGCCAAAATTGAACTCAACTGCTGTATATTGGCTACATCAAAGAATGTAGTAAGAATCTGGACTTTGTGGGGGGGGGGGGGTGGGGTTTGAATGGACAAATCTATATTACAATTTTCCTCTGATATTTTACAAATAAACTTTTCCATCGATGAGTCTACACACACTGGTTCTACATTTTTTTACCATCAAATTCTGTTTTGAACATTACCATGCCATTGAAGAAAACTGTTCTCTCCAAGGTCATTCTTCACTCACCTGTATCAGTCATTAAAACCAATGCCTCTTTCCAAATTTTCCACAACAGCTTTCAAAACTTGTGACATTCTGGGTCTCCTCCCATAACTGACTGCCACTTTACAGGCAGTACAATGTAGAATAAAATGCATGGAAAATAAAGTCACACCATTCTGGATCAAGCAAATCTGTTCCAGTTTTGAATTCTCACTCAGCCACCTATTCGCTACACAACTTCAAACTAGTGGGTTCACAAACCTCTAGGCTTTACTTTCCTAACCTATATAATGGAAGTCATCATATCCACCAAATGTTGTGGTTATAAAAACTAAATAATAATATTGTCTTTGGCATATGGTAGACATTAAATGAATGTAAGTTTTCATCTTTCTTTTGTATCCTCTATCACTTCCTTGACTATTTTGTCTTCTTTCAACAAAGTCTCTCCTGTTATTTTCATTTACTCTATTAACTCTCACTTTTTGAAGGGTTCATGTAAATATTCAGCTCCATACTTCTCACTGAAAATGTCTTAATTACTTACAAAATTTGTAAGTCACTGATATGTTCTTACATTACCCTAATGTAATGCCCCACGGGATGGGGCAGGAAGGTGGGCGCCTGCGGTGGAGGCAGGATGGTACCCACGTGGAGGTGTCGGCCATGTCGAGGATGGTCCCTGGTGGCAGGGTGGAAGGGGTGAGCATATTGTTTATGGTGATAGTGATGCGGAGGTGGGAGGGCAGGGGCCCCACCTGGAACAAGCTGCTGATGTCGGTGTCGAAGGAGAGGTAGACCCCTCATGCTCTAGCGCGTCGACCCCATTCACCCACGCAATGGCATAGGAGTAGCGCGTCGACCCCATTCACCCACGCAATGGCATAGGAGTGGGCACTGCCAATGCTCAGCACTACTCTTGTGTGCAGGTCCTGGGTCCATTGCTCCGGCAGGGTCACCTCCTGTTCATACTACACCTGGCTGACAAAATGCCGCAGCCGCCAGTCCTGGCCAATGTCGTTGAAGCTGGAGGGAACCGGCATGTCCAGGATGGGGTCCGACTCTCGCAGCAGACGCGGATACCACTGCTCCTAGAAGCCACGGCACCGGTTGTCGAAGAAGTCGGCGCAGAAGCTCCTCCAGAGGCCGTCCAGCTTCTTGCGCTCCTGCGACGGCCTCTCTCGGGGACACAGCATCCCGCCCTGCAGCGCCAGCACGCAGCCCCACAACAGCGGCCAGAGCGCCTACCAGGCGTCCGCCGCCCCCCAGACCATGCTTTCCGCTCCTCCGCTGGGCCGCCGTCTGCCGGGCTATGAGCAGCGCAGGAGGAGCCCTGCGGACTGGTCGCGCGCGACGTGATGCACCGGTAGCGCGCGACGTGAGGCACCGGTCGCGCCGAGGAAAAGTATTTTTTAAAAACCAAGAGATTTGAACTGAGGAACAATTACAAATACCCAAAGGGATGATTTGTCCTCCTGTGTTTAAAAGTCTTGGTGCTAGACAATCAAGGATGTTTCCAACACATACCTAGAAGACTCTGACCTTCTAGCACCACTGTTCAGGTTAAACCCGGCCCCTTCCTAAGTGACTGCCTGTGCCTCTCTGTATTCTAGTTTTTCACTCCCAGCTGCAGCTGGTAGCTGGTAGCGTTTGACCTGCAGTGGGAGCTGCAGCTCACCTTTGTTCATAACACCGCCATCCGTCTGCAGCCTCCAATCAGAGCTTCAAGGTGAGCCTGGGGAGACCTCTACAGGTGCCTGTGGTTTCATTGTAACTACTTAAACTATTCATTCTCTTATCAAGCACCCAGTCCCAGTACTGTCCAGATACAATAAGGAGCCCAAAGATAATTTTTTTAAGTTTAATTCCTGCTATGAAGAAACTAAACTCAGCGTGCTCTTGAAGGAGCTCCCTCTAACTTATGACTATTATGGGTAAGAAAGCACTGTGGCATCTGCAGCACTTAGATTGGTAGGAGTATTCTGCAAGACCTGTGCCATTAATTTTCTCAAGTTTGCTCTCAGGGAAAGAGGTGACTGGGGAAGAGGGGGAGCACAAAAAATAGGGGGCTGGGGGAAAGCCAGTAATCAGAGAAAAGACCTTTCTACAACTGGAAAGCATACTAAGAAAGCAGACCTATCCATCTACTGGGATTAAAGGGAATACAAAATGAAAGAAAAAAAAAAAGTTATTCCTTGCAAAGCTAGGATGATCAGATGGCCCCTCGCCACCTTGTAGAAAGGAGTCTGAAAGGCAGCTAATCACCAGCCTGTTTGTGAGGAAGAGCCGGTAAGAACTCCGCCTTTGCACAGTAAATCTGTATCATCTATATTCTTCTTTTTCCCTCCACTCAGCATCCCTACACCCAGCCAGCATGCGCATCAAGGAAAGCAGGCTGGTGGTAAACTTCAGGGCAGAGATCCTCTTCTGAAGGCAGCTAGTACTGTCTCACCCAGCTAAGCCTTGCTTCTAGACAACAGCACTGCCTCACTCAAGAAATTATCCCTCTGCATCAGGCCAGACGCAGTGGCTCACACCTGTAATCTCAACATTTGGGAGGTCGAGGCGGGCAGATCATTTGAGGCCAGGAGTTCGAGACCAGCCTGGCCAACATAGTGAAACCCTGTCTCTACTAAAAATGCAATAAGTAGCCAGGTGTGGTGGTGCATGCCTGTAGTCCCAGCTATCCAGAAGGCTGAGCCAGAATTGCTTGAACCCGGGTGGCAGAGGTTGCAGAAGTTGTGGTGAGCCTAGATCGCACCACTGCACTCCAACCCGGGTGACAAGAGTAAGATTCTGTCTCAAAAGTCACTAGTCTGCATGAGACACAGCAGCTTTCCCCAAAATTCAAACAGCCATGGAGAAATACCCATGGTCTACAGAAGCAGTGCTTAGTCCACGCTAGAATTCTCTAGAGTTTTGAAATACGGGAAGAAGTAGAACTTACAGTGTGTCTGATGAGTAACCGTGGTGTTTATTGCAACTGAGCTCTAGAAAGAGGCTGCTGTTGTCTATGATCTATCCTTTCCCCAGCCGCCCAGGCATCTCTTTGTCCACTCCAGTGATGTCTGCAGACCACCCTAATGTCACCTCTTGAGGGGTGAACCAACCTTCCACTGGCCAGCATAATAGCCCTGGGGTTTCATCTCAGATTTCACAGTGAATTCTGCTTTCAGGGCAGGATTTAGTTAGGGATGAAAAAGTGTTTCCATTAAGTATTGTATTTGAATCCTGGGTTCTTCAATGATTGAGGAAGACTAATAAAGAAAAATTTACAAATAATCACATGAACTAAATTAGGACTTCAAAAGTTTAATGAAACGAAATAATCTCTGCTTATCTCTATTTCTTTTCCCAATTTATTCACCATCTCTATACATAAAAACTCCTTTGGGTTGTATCCAACATCAAAAACAAGAATTTCTATAGTAAGCAAACTATATGCATAATTATTAATATTTTTGTCAATGTAGTGTTTACATTGTTTGTATTACAAAGTTTCCAACATTAACTAAATTCCGATAAACTTTCTTCTCGTACTGGAGATACATGATATGCAACATTAAAAATATTGGTGTCCTAGAGATAAAAGCGACACACCTTTATGCTGTAGAATTAGAGGCAAGCACCTAGATCCTCAATCTTCTCATAGCCTCATTACCTCCCCACCCCCCAAAAAAATCTGTCATTAGAGCTAGGGAATCCTTTAGGACACAACCTCAGTGATAACAAAGAATGAAGACCCATGTTGCCAGTCTTGAGTATCTCAGGTGAGGTGCCAGTCCACTTCTGAAACAATGCTTTGCCTCCTATGCCTTTGGAGAAACTATTCCACTTCTTTATTTTTTTCATTTAGAATCGTATCATTTCGGTCTTTGTTCTTCAATTTTCATTCTTGTAGCATAGCCTTTTCTGGTAACTACTGTGAAGTTAATCCTGCAAAAGCCTATTAAATCATTCTAATAAAAACCTTAGCAGATCCAACATGATTCTGGGATGTACACAGGGAAGTTAATTCGGCAGCACTGCTCCACACCAAGAATATATTTTGCCCATTATCTGTCATCTGTGGGATGCCATCACCTTTGATCTTCACGTCAGAGTCCAACAAGCAAGGATATATTTTGGTAAGAGCTATGTACCTCAGAGTTTCTACTGTTAATACATGTCTTCTAGCATTCCATTCATTAGGATTTATGAGTTCATCAATCCTTGTGTCATTAATCTACTTTGTTTAAATTACCCTCCTTAGTACCTGTTTTTTTTAGCAATGTTCTACTCCAAAACAACTGGCTTGAAATATAGTAGCACATTCTTTCAAAAAGATTTGTTTTTCTATTAAAAGGGATAGAACAAGATGAAATTTCTTTTTCAAATTTTTTCTGAAAAACCACAGGGGTGTTTCATAATGCTTTTTAAAATTGAAATTTTTAAGAAAGGCACTAAGCCAAAGATCATTTATGTAATTAAATCCTGATCAGTTTAAACAATCAGCATATATTAAATACTCAAAGGGCAAATTGAGCAATCCTTATCTGAAATGCTTGGAACCAGCAGTGTTTTTAGCATTGTCCAGACTTTAGAATACTTGCATTATACTTATCAGTTCAGCATCCCTAATCCAAAAATCAGAAATGCCCTAATAAGGATTTCCTTTGAGCATTCCAATTTTGGAGCATTTCCGATTTTCGATTTTTTGATTAGGGATGCTCAACCTGTACTCTATGCTTAGGATTTGCTTCTCTCAACTTTATGAAAAAATTAAAACGTAGGCCAGGTGTGGTGTAGGCTCACACCTGTGATCCCAGCATTTTGGAATGTAGGCTCACACCTGTGATCCCAGCACTTTCGAATGTAGGCTCACACCTGTAATCCCAGCACTTTGGGAGGGAGAGGCAAGAGGGAGGAGTGCCTGAGGTCGGCATTTGAGACATGACCGGGCAACATAGCAAGGCCCCATCTCTACAAAAACTAAAAAAACTTAGCTGGGCATGGTGGTGCACATCTGTAGTCCTAGCTACTTGGGAAGCTGAGGTGGGAGGATCACTTGGGCCCTGAAGTTTGAGGTTGCAGTGAGCTGTGATCGCACCACTGCACTCCAGCCTGGGTGACAGAGCAAGACCCTGTCTCTTAAAAGGTAGTAATAGTAATTATACTTTATAAGAGCCGCCAGCACTTTGTCAGATGTACAATTAAGCAATCTTTCATGCTTTGTTAAATTAAAAAAAAAAGACATTTATTCAGTATCATGACTAGACTATTAAAACATTTAGCAATCAACAGCATGGGTACAAAACAAAACAAAAAATTCTGCATTGAAGCCATGTGTTGGAATGCTTTACACTTTCCACAGAACAGAGATTAATCTATTATATAATTAGTCACAAATACAGCCATCAAGTTCTGTGATCGTGGTAGCTTTGGTGGCAGCCATGGTGGTCGTGGTGGATATGGTGGCAGTGGGGATTGCTATAATACATATGGTAATGATGGAAGCAATTTTTGAGGTGGTGGAAGCCACAATGATTTTGGCAATGGCAACAATCAGTCTTCAAATTTTGGACCCATGAAGGGAGGAAACTTTGGAGGCAGAAGCTCTGGCCCCTATGGTGGTAGACGCCAATACCTTGCCAAACCATGATACCAAGGTGGCTATGGCAGTTCCAGCAGCAGTAGTAGCTGTGGCACTGACAGAAGATTTTAATCACTGCCAGGAAACAAAGCTTAGCAGGAGAGGAAAGCCAGAGGGGGACAGGGAAGCGACAGGTTAAAACAGGTTTGTGAACTCGGTCAAACACAGTGGCAGGGCCTAGCTAGTTCACGCTTTTTTCCAGTTAGTTTCCCTTCACAGTTTCCATTTGAGTCCCTAAGCATTCAGGGCTAGCACTACACTTCATTCATTTTGCATTTCCCCTGTGTATCTCCCTCCCAGTTTCTCTTCTTCTTGAAAACATCACTTTTGTGACCTCCGTTTAAGTTTTCTTCAGCCTTACATTTTTTCAATTTCTTCCAAACTGAGGTCATAACTCGTACAAATTCTTCCTTTCATGAAAAAGGTAACCATTCCTCACACATGTATTAGACCTTTAACTGTTAAGAATCTAACACAGTATTTAAAAAGTTAACTTTGAGGGAGCACTAAATTCAAATTACAATTTAACACTACGTTTTGCTTGACATTAACAGCAGCAATTCCACATTTCAAGAAATTAAGCAGTATTAGTAATACTGCAGGTATCAAATTTTTTTAAAAATCTTCAATTACATGTGGACAGATGAAAACAACTACTAATAGAAATTTAAGGGAAAGATATCCAATTAAGGGAAATGTGTCCTAAAGGAAAAAGTGAATAAAAATTGAGAAAAAAATTAAAGAAATGGAAAGACCACTTTACAGATTATAAAAGTTATATTTATTCACGATGCTACATTTATTGCATTCCCTTAGAAAAATGGAGAACTGTTTATGTACCCAATCTGCACATATAAAATTTTATACAAATTATGTGTAGCACATAAAGGCCTCTGGTACAGCTAAAATCCTGACACTATAATTTGGGTATTCCTGCTTTAGGGTCTCCAGTTTATCAAGTCTGTCCATAGAAAACAGAAACTGGAATTACAGTCAGTCTTGCTAACACTTAGAAATTACTTTAAAATACAATAAAATTTTCATTTACCCTAAAACTCAAAATGGGAGGGGATACATTTTGTTACCAATTTCAATGTAACAGTATGACAAATTCACACCTCATTTTGGCTGGTTCTTTCAAAATTAAAAAAAAAAATCACCTTAGTTCTGACATTATCTAAGTTGTGGCTGCTTCAGAAGGTCATATGACAAAATATTTACCAAATAATTAAAAATAATAATAATAATATTCCTTTTACAAAATGGTACAGTAATACCTTAAGGAACCGGAAAATACTAAATGTCTTTGGCTATACAACTAAAAGGCCATTCTTTCAAAAGAACAGGGCGTATTCATTTCAGAATCAACTAAAAAAACAGAAAGCATAACAGAAATATGCATAGAATTTAAGTATACTTTGTCTTGCCTTCTTTTCCCATTCTACCCACATAAGCAAGGAGAATGCAATTTATATAATCTTTCCAGATGAGACTCAATAGCACTACAAAGAAAATACCCAAATTTCTGCAAAGGCAAAGTGAATTAAAATAATTATACAACTAAATGAAGACTGAAAGGGACAAATGTTATTTGCAATTTTCTTTTTAACTTGTTTTTAAACCTTACAAGTATAGAAATTATAGCTAATAAACAAAAAGTCACAATCTTCACGAATGGAACTACAACAGAAAAATAAATCAAATGAAACAGTAATAAATGAAGCCTATTTTATTACTTCAAGTGTTAATGATAAAAAAATTTCAGCACAGCTGTTGCATTTAAAAAAGTGAAACTACATACTATGTTTCTAGCTCAGTAAACAGATGAACCTGATGTCTTTAAATGACATAACAATTGAGCATTGTACAGTACATCTTATGAAGACCCGTAAATTAAAGAACTACTGGTTTAAAGTTAGTGATTATGAAACAAAAACATATTCATAGTTTCAGCTTCTTTTTTCTTCCTCGACCGTCAGGTGCTCCATCCATTTTACGTTTCTGTGTCTACAAACAGACAAAAGGATTACTTTTCACAAGACTCATATAAACATGAAATATAGTTGCAGACACATTATAACACTTTAGTAATAACAACTACTACAAAGTAATAGGTATATGAGATTTTTCTCCCAGGCTATATAAATCTTTCAAAGCAAACTATAAAGCCTCAAAATAATCTTACCTACTTATTTTACTTACAGAATAAAAAAGTTTAATGTTAATAATGACATTATAAAAATAATGCACAATTAACAGTAGTAAATCAGCAACAAATAAATGCACACTTCCCAAAAGAGTAATAAGAAACACCTGAGTTTTTAAAAGGCAGTTACATAAATATGAAATATTATCCAGAGATATTCATTTACTCATGACTTTATAAAGTAACCATTTTTTATTAAATTAACTATTATTAAATAACATTTTTTCCCTTAAAGTATTTGCCTTCACGTTGCTAAAACATCACTGAAACAATCAATCAAAGCTTAGAGACTAACAGTAAAAGTCATAATACCACTGCTTTTCCAATGTTTCCTATTCTAAAATTATAACTTGTATTCCCAATGAGATGTGTACACACTTGGCATCTACAAGACATACATTCCCAGATTTTCATGAAGCCCCATATTAAGGACTACCATATCATCAAGATGTGATTTTTTTCCCACACAACCCAGTCAAGCTAAATTTCTACTTTTTAAGTATTTCAAGGAAGTCCTAGTTACAGCAATCAGACGAGAGAAAGAAATAAAGGACATCTAAATTGGAAACAAAGAAGTCAAATTGCCCTATTTGTAAATGACATAATATCTTACATTTGGAAAAACCTAAACACTCCATCAAAAAACTATTAGAACTCATAAACAAATTCAGTGACACTGCAGGATACAAAATCAACATACAACAAACAGTAGCATTTCTATGCCAACAGTGAAAAATGTGAAAAATAAAAAGTAGTAACTACATATGAAATAAAATACCCAGAAATTAATCAAAGAAGCGAAAGATCTCTACGATAAACTACAAAACACTGATGTAAGAAATTGAGGACACAAAAAAATAGATATTCCATGTTCATGGATTAGAAAATTCAGTACTGTTAAAATGTCCATACCACCCAAAGCAATCCACAGATTCAATGCAATCCTTATCAAAATACCAATGGCATTCTTCACTGAAATAGAAAAAAAAAACCACTAAAATTTATATGGAACCACAAAACACTCAGAAATAGCCAACCCCACCCTAAGCAAAAGGAATACAACTGGAAGAATCACATTACCTGACTTAACAGTACAGAGCTATAGTAACCAAAACAGCATGGTGCTGGTATAGAAACAGATACATAGATCAGCGCAACAGTGGAAAAGAACAGAGAATCCAGAGATAAGTCCATATATCTACAGGGAACTCATTTTTGACAAAGGTACCAAGAATATACACTGGAGAAAGGACAGTCTCTTCAATAAATGGTAATGGGAAAATTGGATACCCACAAACAGAAGAATGAAACTTGACCCCATCCCTAATCATATACAAAAATCAAAACAAAATGTATTAAAGAGTTAACTCCAAGGCCTCAAACTACGAAACTACAAGAAAACATTGGGAAAACTCCCCAGAACACTGGACTGGGCAAAGATTTCTTGAATAATACCCCACAGGCAACCAAAGCAAAAATGGACAAATGGGATCACATTAAGTTAAAAAGCTTCTGCACAGCAAAGGAAACAATCAACAAAGTGAAGAGACATCCCACAGAATGGGAGAAAATATCTGCAAACTACCCATTTGTCAAAGGATTAATAACCAGAATATTTAAGAGCTCAAACAACTCTACTGAAAAAAATCCTAACAGTCCAATTTAAAAATAGGCAAAAGATCTGAACATATGTTTATCAAAGGAAGACATACAAATAGCAAACAAGCATATTAAAAGCTATTCAATATCACTGATCATCAGAGAAATGCAAATCAAAACTACAATAAGGTAACATCTCACCCCAGTTAAAATGGCTTTTATCCAAAAGTCAGGCAATAACAAATGCTGACAAGAATGTGAAGAAAAGGGAACCCTCATATACTGTTGGTGGGAATGCAAATCACTGTGAAAACAATTTGGAGGTTCCTCAAAAAACTATAAATATAGTTACCCTACAATACACTAATCCCACTCCTAGGTACACACCCCCCCAAAAATCAGTGTATCAAAGAGATATCTGCACTCTCATGTTTACTGCAGCACTATTCACAGTAGCCATGATTTGGAAACAACCTAAGTGTCCATCAACAGACAAATGGATAAAGAAAACATGGTATGTATACACAACAGAATACTATTCAACCATAAGCAATGAGACCCTATAATTTGCAACAACATGGATGGAACCAGAGTTTATTATGTTAAGTGAAATAAGCAAGGCACAGAAAGACAAACTTGGCATATTCTCACTTATCTGTGGGAGCTAAAAATTATAATAATTTAAACTCATGGAGATAGAGAGTACAAGGATGGATATCAGAGGCTGAGAAAGGTAGTGGGGTGGGGGAAAGCGGGGCTGGCTAATGGATATAAATAAATACAAAGAATGACTTAAGACCTAGTATTTGATAGCACAACAGGGTGACTACAGCAATAAATAATTTAATTATACATTTTAAAATAACTAAGAGTTAAATTGTAACAGAGGATAAATGCTGGAGATGATAATACCCCATTTACCCCGATGTCCTTATTACTTATTGCATGCCTGTATCAAAATATCTCATGTAACCTATAAATACATATACCTACTCATAACAACTAAAAATAAAAAATTTATACCACTACCTAAATTTGAAAGTGGAAGAATCTCAAATTATGACTTTGGGTTCCCCCTTAAGGGAAAAAAAAAAATTAAAGGCAATGGATGGGGTGCACAACAGGGACTAACACATCAATGACAGCCAAGCAGTGTTAAATACTTAGAAAGGAGAAATTTACGTTATCCACATATTTACACATTCATGAATACTTACTGAAGGCTTTGGTCCTCGTTTCTTTTTCTCTGCCTTCTCCTTTTCTTCTAGTTCCATGTTTTCTCTTTCAATCAAAGTAATTAAGGTATTACATCTCCTCTGGAGCTCCTAAATTATAAACAAACACAGTACATGTACTTTCCATCTACAAGTTTCATGATTTCAATTTTAAAACAAAGTATGTCTTAATAGGATAGTATAAAACCACTAATATATCCCTAATTTAAAAAAAAACGATTTTCATACACAATTCACGCTATGAGCAAGATATTTGTAAATAATGTTTTAACTCCATTCTTTAAAGCCAAACTACTGTGTGTTCTTCAAAAATTCTTCCTTCACTTAGGAATTAAAGCAATAAAAATGAACATCTCATAACATATTCAATACTGCTACTTAAGTGTTTATGTCTGATAAGTACTGTGCTACTCATATCCAAAACTTAAATAGATTAATAGCGTACGTATGTGAGGGTCAAAAACAAGAACTTTAACAGGTGTGTATAATCTTTCCCTTCAAAGTATCACTAGAATTATGGTGGTCAATCAATCACATGGCACCTTTCCCAATTTTGGAAAACCAGCCATGGAAGTCTACGATGAGTTCTACTTCATCTCTCTCTGGCAAACTGGACATACAGTCTCAGAAAAGATTTAAAGTATAACCTAGAAGTAGCAGATAACCCTGAAAGAAAGAGAAGTCCATTTGCATTGCTAGCATGGTTAGCAGCTCCCTTTCTTATAGGGCAAAATTATTTTTTTCTTATAGTAAGTGATACTACTATACACACAACTACAGTAAAATAATTTTAAAATACTACTCTATAGAATACACCACACAAGGCTTAGAAATAGTATATAGAGATAGAAAAGTACATTATCATTTTTTGTGCATCTTAACATGGAACATGTTAAGAAGTAACAGAGTTTTAAATTATGGTACTGTACTAGGTAAATTAACATGGCACTGTCTTGTTACAATCACTATAAAATTATTCTTTATTAACTCTATAAACTGTTCCCACTTAAGAAATAAGCTTTCAGCAACTGGATCTTTTCTCTAATTATATATTTACACAGTGTTTTATCTTCAAAGTAGCTTCATGTATTTAAGTTTAGTACATTTCCCAAACCTGGGTATCACAAAATAGTGATGTCTAGTGAAATAAAAATTTCAGTGGTCAAACACGAAAATACTGCTTACTATCCACTGTCTTACAAAGTGACATTTTACTTTAAACATACAGAGAAATCTTACTATAAACAAAAAGATGTTTAAACTTTGTTTATTCCAGAATATCCCAAACTTAAGACTACAGAACTTATTAGCATTATCCTCATCTGGCAGAAAACAAGTTGAAGCTCAAAGTTCAATGGTGGTGAAATAAGGAAGAAAAGGAGCAATCCATCAAAGCTAAACTTTTCTGTATTCAAATTTTAGGTTATTAGAAATGGGGCTATTTGGTCAGAAATGGTTAGCCAGACATTGGGAATAAAAACAAAACCTAGCATTAAATCAGTACAAAAATAGTGTTTACTACAATAAGCCATCTTAAAATAATCCAGACTCAGCATTCTGGTATGCAGATGCCTGAATGCAAGGACCATTTTTCTTTATAGAAATATGTTCATTTGAAAAACCAAAAAGTCATAACACTCAGAAGTTGAAACTGATACTTCCTCCCACTTAGAACTTGAAAAGCTAGTCTTACCATATAGTGATGTTTAAAGATGTAAGACATTAAAGGATGGGATCAATAAACTTGTAAGTTATCCCTGCTATTAGGTTTTATGATACTAACAATATTGTAACAAATGTCTACTTCATAGATTTTTTTAAGGTCACCTTAAAGAATACCAAAGATGACACTTACTCTGAACTTGGCTACAGTACACAAAAAAGCCCTGAGCACTCACCATTGCAGTTCTGGACTTAAGAAACCAGTCAAATCTGAACTGAGGAGAGTTGCGAATACACTGTCGTAATTCATCATAAACATTTTCTTTGTCAAATCCAAGTTTGTGAAGCATACAAATCAGAAAACGATCTTCTTCTTCAGTATAGTTTTTTCCTTTGTTAGTACCGTATGATATTCTCAGCTGATGAAAAGGTGCTTTGTACCGTCCAATCTATGAAAGTCAGATTTTGTATTATATAAAATACAAACGCTATATAATCTGTATTTCAAACGCAGCTTTAGTATAATTAGCTGAAATGTTACATTTCAAATCAGAATTTTTATCCAGAGCACCTCAATTGCTTTATATAACCTTTGTTCTGAAAGACCTTTATAGTCTTTATTATTATAAAGAGAAATACAGACTAAGACTTTCTGATTCTACTTAGTAAAAAGCTAATCTTAGTGCCTCTGACTCAGATCTTATTAGTCTAGCATATAGGTAAATTCTGTTGACAACACCATATTTGAATGCTACTCAAAGAAATTTTAAATTGTGAACCCTTACCTCTTTTCCTTTTATAAAAAGTCACTCTCTAAGTGACTGTATCACTGACTACAACACACTATATAATAATAACTCTCAGCTAGGAGTTATTTTATTAACTACCCTAACTTATTAACAAGCAAATTACCTTTGTGTCAAGTGCTTTCTTGATGCTTATTCTTCTTTGAATTCTCGCCTCTCCCCTTTCAATCTGAGCCATAATCTTCTCTATGTCCTGGAGCTCATTGCACCTTTCCCAGAACACAGCTGTAAAAATTGGACAAAGTAAACAAATCATTTATATTTTTATTTCTTTAGTGTAAACAAAAATGGGATCAACTAGATTATTTATCTTCTAATTCTTAAATTTCTGCTATTCTAAGCAGACTCACCACAGCATACCCTCACATATTAATCTGATAATACAACTGACTTCAGGAAACACAGCACATAATACTTGAAGTTATGGAGAGAAATTAAGATAAAAATGCAAGGGCAATTATCCAGTGACTTATTCTGATTTTCTCTGCTGTAGCTAGAGTTAGCTAGGGTTAAAAAATTTTTAAAAAGGAAACCATTACGCTATTTTTGGGAAGGGGACATTTTCTAATTTGTAAGAAATAACGAAGGTACTAATTACGTTGTGACAAAATTAGTTAATCACAACATAATACAGAGTAAGAAAACAAGAACCTTCCAACAGCTCTTACTAAACTCCAACAGCCTGGTTAAAATAATTACCTGAATATTCAATGACTTCTTCTGGAGTTTTGCCTTCTACTTCTCTTGCTATATTTTCAATATCATCACGACCCCACTTCTCATTAGCCTTGATAAACTGATTAAAATCTCTCTTATTCCAATTGGTAAATCCCTTCACAGGAACAGAAACAAAGTATTTAATCACAGCACATTAAACTGGAAAACATGCTATGAAAACTTTAGCAATCCTTCTAAATATTACAAAAACAAATTTTCAATTGCTGCTAGTTTATTTATTAAGTTCTTTTAGAGTGGTAACTTTTCGTGTACGTAAACGTACACTTTTGACAACACATTATACATTGCTCAAATACCCAAGCAATTAAATATGAGTGGGAGAGAGTAAGGAGCACTGTATGAAAACGTGACAGTTTCACTGAGCTTTGAAGGATTATTAGCAGTTGGCCAGAAAGAGTGAAAAACATAAAGGGCAAAAATATGAGCAAGTAGAAAAATGGAAGGAAAATAAAGCTTTAAAGGTAAGTCAAAGGCCAGATTCTGAAAGACCTTGATGAACACCAAAGGATGTTTAAAAAATACCAAGCCAAAATTTATAATTGAAAATGGTGACTGGGTAGCAATGTGGAAAATTCATAGGAAAGATGGGAACATTCAAAGTAAGGTGATAAAAAGGATACCCACTCTACCGAGGCCAAAGTAATAAAATCCATAGTCTTCTCAACTACCTCAACTAGTGACAATCAAATGGAGCATTTATCCACGTGCCCATAATTGTCTCCAATTATTCCATCTTTAACAGCACAAACTTATTTATTTGTATGCCCCAACATAACCTAACACAGTCCTTTACAACAAACTGTTACTAAAGTTTGTACTGATTAAAGGCTATACCTGTGTTAGAAGCTTCTCTTTTTCCTCTAGCTCTTCATCATTAAGGGATTCAGCTTCATCAATTTTAAGCTGTTCTTCTTTTTGTGCCTGTGCTGCATTAGGCAGCTCAGGATTTCGGGGTACCTAAAAGATATTTTCCTATGCCATTAAATCAGTAAATTTTAAAGAGCATGTGATAAACCAACTAACTGACATTTCACAAGTTTCGATTCAACCAGGAGAGAAAATACACTGATACATTGCATTTATGACATTAAAAACAAACTAGATTAGTCATGAAGTCTTATTTTTTCTTTTTAAAGAATAACAGACCCAAGTTTACATATTTCACATATACAACTAGGCTAGGCTAAAGCAATTATTTTTCCCACTAGGTCCAAATTAAGTATTTATAACTAATGTTTATACCTTCCATAATTTCTGGATAGGAATGAACAGAAAGGTGGATAATTTCAATTACCTTGTACCCAATAGTTTTTCTGTAAAACAGAATTTCTTTTTCCAGTAACTCAAATAAACGTGGAGGAAAAAACTGGAAATCCTGAACGTTGGGTTGTTTTGGAGGTCGAGGAGCCTAAAGAAAAATAAAAATAAGTGTTATCCATAAAAAAGAAATTTTGTTTTAAATGTATTCTTAGTCCTCACTTCAGAAACCATGACAGCCAATTCTGCAAGTAACTGAATGCATCTTTCAATAAAACTGAATTGATATCTTGATTTTAAATGCACAGATTCAAAATTAATTTTTTAAAAATGTTAACTAAAAACAGAAGGGAGTACACTCCAAAGAAATACAGAATGTAGGCCAGAGGCGGTGGCTCACGCCTGTAATCCCAACACTTTGGGAGGCCAAGGCAGGCAGATCACGAGGTCAAAAGATCAAGACCATCCTGGCCAACATGGTAAAACCCCATAGCTACTAAAATTACAAAAATTAGCCAGGGGTGGTGGTGGGCGCCTGTAGTCCCAGCTACTCAAGAGGCTGAGGCAGGAGAATTGCTTGAACCCGGGAGGTGGAGGTTGCAGTGAGTTGAAATTGCGCCACTGCACTCCTGGTAACAGAGCAAGACGCTGTCTCAAAAAAAAAAAAAAAGAAACACAAAATGTAATTATCAATCTTTTCCAAAGAATATAAGAAAAAAATTACATTTTCAAAACTTTTAGATATTTTTATGCTGTGTCAGTCAACTCACCTTGGGTGCTTTAGGTTCACTAACACGAAGAGCTTCCCTGAAATATGCATCAACGGCATAGTTGGCTTTTCTTTCTCGTTTAGGTGGTTCAATCCATTCTGTGAATGCAATCTAGAACATGGGAAACAACTCAGATCACCGACTTTTATTCCACAGTAACAAATCATCATCAAGAAGGATGTTTGTAAATGGAAAGATATTCACAAAATCCTAGGCTATAAGCTATGAGGGTGGGGAATATGATACTTTGCTCAATATTATGTATATAATTAACACATGAGACAGTGTCCAGTCAACAGTGTAAGCATTCAGTATTTCTTGCTTAAAGGAACAACTGTTAAATGAGGGAGAAACGCTACTGAATGTTTCGTATAAATCTAAACTAGGAGAAAAGTGTAGACACAAATTAGCCTAGAAAAAATTCTGAAGATATAGACCTAAATGTTAACACGAAAAACATTGGGTAGAATTATTTTTTTCTTGTACTCTATCGGTATTTTTCAATTTATCTCTATATTACCAAGTATTACTTATGAAGTTAGGAAAATTTTCCGTTTATTACCAGCCACTTCTGCTGTTTAAAATAAAATGAATCAGGTTACCATCCCACATTACTATTCATCTCATAAAAGAATATATTTCACTGTAAACATACACCATAAACTTCATTACAAAAACTTTAAAAATATTTCAGAGCTTCCCAACTGAAAAACTGGCATTAAATTTTACATAATGATGAAAATATTCAGATGTGAATAAGCAAAAATGACTGCTGTTTTAAGCAAAATTACAAGACATTACAGTAACACTTAAAATTCCAGGTTTCCAGTAAAATAAAGCTTTCATGTAACCCAAACCTATTTCTAAATTACCTTTTGTTTTTCCCTATAGTCTTCTCCTTCGAAGTTATAAACACTCGACTCTGTATCCATTGTGAAGTTTCTAAGTGAGCTTTCACCCATCTTGGAGAGCTTTTCATTCATCTCTGCAGTCTAGAGAACAAAACAATCAACTTCTTAGATTCACAATAAAGAAAGCATGAAACCTGCAGTCAAAATAAATTAACTTCAGGTACACAAAAGCTTTTTTGTTAGGGAAATAAAATTATTTATCATCAATGTAACAAATATTTCCTGTTTCTGGTCTAAAACATTCTATATTAAAAGCATTATTTAATCTACATCTCACCTTCTTTGCACCTCTTTCCAAAATACCATCAATATCTTCATCAGTGATCTCACTTTCCTTTGAAGCAAACACATGTGTTGCCCCATGTCTAATCATTTGAAGCATTTCATCTTTCCCAATTTTGTTCAGATTCTGATCCACAAGCCTCCCTGAAAAAAGATTGTGTTGTATAATGTTAACTGAACAGACTTTATTTTACTGGAAACTTGAAATTTTAAATGTAAAGTTTAATGCCTTATAATTCTGTCTCAAATGTCAATCATTTCTGTTTACTGTTTATTCACATCTGATAATTTTCATTTTTGCACTAAATTTAATGCCAAATTTTCAGTTGGTAAGCTACAAAACATTCCTAAAGCTGATGTATTATATAATGAACCCTACTGTATACTGTGTCAATGAAATATAATCTTTTGTGAAAGCTGCATATGACGAAGTTTTCAAAAACCTACAAGTTTCAACAGATGGAAGCATTATATACACAAGTTTCTGATGAGCAGAAAGGTGTTATTACTAATACTCCCCAAATCAGCTTTTTCTCCTTAGAAAAGTAAAGTGAAAAATCCTTCCCACAGGCCAAACTTTACACAGAACTGAAATATGTAACATCAGTTTCTTTTTAAAGAAAACTTCCAGAAGAACTGGAACTCCTAAAAATTTATTTTATTCGTTTATTTCTTTGAGATGCAGTCTTGCTCTGTTGCTTAGGCTGGAGTGCAATGACAGGACCATAGTCACTGCAGCCTTCAACTCCCTGCTCAAGCCATCCTCCTATCTCAGCTTCCCAAGTAGCTAGGACTAAAGGCATGCACTACCACACCTGGTGAGAAAATGTATCTGGATCATCAAAGAAACTCATCATTAATAAATTACTAAAGATTTTCAGTTGGCAGGAATTTGGACAACCTTGTAATTTGTGTTTTCAAAAATACAGACATAAAAACAAAAACAAAAACCCAGAAAGACTTGTTTTCACCCACCTCAAGGGTCACTCACATACATCTAAACAAAGCTTTGATTTTTATACGCCAACCAACTTGTAATTAAGTGGAAAAAGATCCAAGTTTTCAACAACTTCTTTAAATACTTATATCATGGTTTGGGGCCCATAACAGAATATACAACCAAACATCTGTGACTTTGAAAGTGAGGCAATATCCAGAAAGTACGTTTCTTTGGATTGGATGCTGCCATTGCTACCAAAATGGTCTCATGCTTATACAAGCTACTTCCAAGTTGGGCAGAGAGGGAACCTTCAGATGTAAAGTGCTTGTGTACTCTCATTTTCAATTATGTCCCTCAAATAAAAAACAGTAACACAAAGGTATGTACTTAAGGCTTGCTGTTTGACTAACATGTCTACAAATGGCACAAGAAAGCTATTAGCCTGAAGGTTTGCTCCAAAAATTGCCACAGTAAATATGAAGTAAAAAACCTCAAGATTTCTAAATTTATGAATCAATTAAGGTTTTTTAATCTTTAAAAAAAAAGTGTTTCAGACAGGCGTGGTGGCTCACACCTGTAATCCAGCACTTTGGGAGGCTGAGGTGGATCACCTGAGGTCAGGAGTTTCAGACCAGCCTGGCCAACAAAGTGAAACCCTGTCTCTACTAAAAATACAAAAAAATTAGCCAAGCACCACTGGTGGTGGGCATCTGTAAACCCAGCTACTCAGGAGGCTGAGGCAGGAGAATTGCTTGAACCCAGGAAGTGGAGGTTGCAGTGAGCCAAGATCGTGCCATCGCACTCCAGCCTGAGTAACAAGAGCAAAACTCCACCTCAAAAAAAAGTGTTTCATGGATGAAAATAACTGAGAACAAGAAGCACATGGCAGGTGTTTTTCAAAACACACAGATGTGTGAAGAAAAATAAAACATTAGCCATTTTATCACCCATGAGATAACCTCATGGGTTGGTAGCCTCGAGAAGCCCCCAAAGGCCTTCCTAATTAAATACTTCATAGTTAACAAAGTTCTTGATCCCCCTTGAGTCACTTCCCAGCTGTATGTACAATGAACAAGTAATTTAACCTCTCAAAAGCCTTTACCTCTGATACTAACATCTCAAGTTGGCATGAAGACTAAAGGAGAAAATGAAATGTTCACACTGCCTGGCACAAAGTAAACACTTTATTAACGGAAACAATTTGTAAAAATAAGCAATAATTTATTGTCTTTAGGTATGCAGACAAATGGCCAACACTATGAATAGCATTAGGGATACCAAAGACATGTAAAATACTCTCTTACATGGAAATAAGAGACTGACAAAATCAAGACACCTACATAATCAGTAAACAATGTAACAATATGCCTTTCAGCTTTTTAGACAGATAGTAAATATACGCTCACAATGCAGTTACAAAGGAAACTAATGAACATTTCAAGTTATTAAGTTTCCCACCCCTTTTCTTGAATTTTATATTTCCCATCATCAACTTTACAGTAAGTTTCATGAAAACATAAACTATGTCATCCTTAAAAGCTGATCGGGAATGAGAACTTAAGTTTCCTTCAATCGATTCAAAATAAAATCCCACTCTCACCCCCTATTCCTACTTATACCTTGTTTACTTCATCTGCCCTCCCAACTAAATTGTAAACTCTTTTAAAGTAAGAATACTTGAATGTTCCATTTACCACTGAATTCTCAACACCAAGAACAGTGCCTAGCATCTGGTGGGTACTCAATAAGTTGCAGACAAGAAAAAAGAATAAAATCAGGCTCTTTGATTTTTATTTCTTCAGTATTCCCCACAGTAATCAAGAGTAATTAGTACATATAAATCATTAACCACCACACTGAATATCAGATATCTTATATACATTATCCCCTTCAATCCTTTAAAATCCTTAAGTGTATTTTTATCCCCACTTAACAATGAGGAAATGGGTTCATGTAACGAGAGAGAACTGCTAACTGGCAGAGTCATTATTCAAAACTCAATTGTCCTGAGCCCAAATAAATCTTAAGGACAAAACTAAAGTTTACTGTATTTGCACTACAAGTAATCTCTACTGGCTGCAAGCTTGACTCAATGGATGCTTAGTAACAAGAATCTTCTAAGACGATGTTCAAACAAAAACAGGTTGTGTCAATCCAGCTTGGTAAAGTTTTAAAGTTCCATGGCTTACCTTGTTGAATGACTATTGAATCCAGTCTGAGTTTCATCTCAGCACGTTCTACTATTCTTTCTTCTACAGTGTTATCAGTTATAAAGCGGAACACCCTGACTGTCTTGGTCTGTCCAATTCTATGTGCTCGGTCCTAAATAAATTACCATGTTATTTTGAATTGAGTTTAAAAGTCACATAAATAACACTGAAATGGGTACATTGAGAAACAAAATTAAAATATTCTGAAGTATAAAACTTTTAAAAATTTGTAGTAACAATGAATCTGTAAGAATCAGATGAATTCTGCTAGGTTACAGAGATAAAACACACACAATGTCTCCAAACAATATACAAAATTATAATTTTTAAGTCTGATGAGAAAAGATTTTAAGTCTTTTTCCCTAGGTTTAAATTCAAAATGTTTTTCTATCTATATCAAACCCAAATTGTTACTGCTATCAGGCAAAAAAATGACATGAAACAATGAACTTAGCAAACAACATAAAAATTCTAATCTTTAAATATTACCCAATTAACTACATACAAGTAGTCAAACTAGTTTGAATAGGAATTTCTGTTTCACTTTTGCTAACTACATTCCTAAAAAACTCCTTTATTTCTAATAATTGGACAATTTTCCCCAGTCAACCTTAGTAAGAGCACAAGATGAAAGTGACTAACGGGCTGGGCGCAGTAGCTCACTCCTGTAATCCCAGCACTTTCGAAGGCCGAGGTGGGGGGATCACCTGAAGGTGAGGAGTTCAAGACCAGCCTGACCAACATGGTGAAACCCTATCTCTAATAAAAATACAAAATTAGCCAGGCGTGGTGGTGCACACCTGTAATTCCAGTTACTTGGAAGACCGAGGCAGGAGAACAGTGTGAACCCGGAAGGCGGACCTTGTGCTCCAGCCTGGGCAACAGAGTGAGACTCTGTCTCAAAAAAAAAAAAAAAAAAAAAGAAAGAAAGTGACTAATTACAGTTGGGTTTATGGTCACCAGTATCACGGGTCAGGCCAATCTGCAGTATCAGTTCTCTCAATCTAAAAATAATCTTCCTGATCTGACTGGTACTTTCACACAGGTGTATCTTTTAAATATCTAAAGTGGCAGACAGGCTAGCTGTTCATCAAACTCAATTCTCTTTCGTCCTGTGATACAACAACAATATAATTTACCAATTCCCTTGCAGTCAGTTATGCTACATGATTTGAGTTCTGTCCAATTGTCTGATCAAGAGGGTGGAGAGACAAGGAGGCTCTTTCAAGGTCTGACCCATAAATTTCCTGGAAAATCCCCAACTCTATTCTTTCCCCCTTCTGCCAATAGGATGCAGAGGATATAGCAGAGGACTCCAGGGTCCTAAGATATGGCAGATCTCTGAGATGGAAATACCCTTATTTAGATGGAACATCAACTCAATATACTCTCACTGAACCACTGGATTGGAGAAAAATAAAATTCTATTGGGTTAAGTCACTGATATCTGAAGAATTACCTCACCCTAACTAATTCATCTACTAAGCACAGAATACATTTATTTGTTATCTCTTACCATAGCCTGAAGATCTACTTGGGGATTCCAATCAGAATCATACAAAATTACTACATCAGCAGTCGCAAGATTGATGCCAAGACCACCAGCACGTGTGCTTAACATGAAAACAAACTTTGTGCTGTTTGGTTCATTGTATGCATTGATGGAGTCCTACGGATAAAATAAAATGATTGTCAAAAAATTTATGATTCTTTATTATCTCCCTCCCCAAATTTTACTCACTTGTCTCTCATCATGGGGCGTCTGACCATCCAACCTGCAGTACTCATAATTTCTCCACATGCAATAATCTTCCAAAATGTCCAATACCCTTGTCATTTGACTGAAGATTAATACTCGTGAACCTGTTAGTGAATATATTAATATATTCAAAAGTAGAAAAATTTAAGGGTAACCAAAAGTAAGACTAACCAATTATCTTTAATTCCAAAGTTACCTACTTGGTTACAAGGGGGCAAAAAAATCTACACATTATCATCCCAGTCAGTCATTTCCCACTTTTTTCTCACCATGGCACAAATAAAAAAGGATAACATTTATACAGAAAAGCATATTTGCCTCTGGTCTGGAAGGCTTTCCCATCTCAAAGGGTAAGATAATCATTATCTTGTTACCTCACGTATGTTTAAAAATAACCTTCCACTACTCTACAACTCCTCTTCAATGCGTATGACTCCCCAAACCCCCAACACACACCTAATACTCCAGGTTTCAACCTGGTTCTGAAGACCCATTCCAGATCAAAGGACCATAATATGTATCTCATATATCTACAATGACTATCCTTCACTTATCTGACGTGATTCAAACTATCTGACTGCCTTCCACTTCTTTAGGCAACTACATATTACTTTCAGTAGAATGCATCAAGACAAAGGATCATTTTGAAAAGTAATGATTATGAAATGATCCCGTCTTAGAAGTGGAGGCTGACAATCTGCTGTTGTCACACGTTCCTGCACCTCAAATGCGTAAGAATTTTTTTTTTTTTTTGAGACGGAGTCTCGCTCTGACACCCAGGCTGGAGTGCAGTGGCGCCATCTCAGTTCTGCCTCCCAGGTTCAAGTGATTCATCTGCCTCAGCCTCCCAGGTAACTGGGACTACAGGTGCATGCCACCATGCCCTGCTAAATTTTTTGTATTTTTGGTAGAGATGGAGTTTCACCATGTTGGCCAGGCTGGTCTTGAACTCCTGACCTTAAATGATCTGCCCAACTCAGCCTTCCAAAAAGTACTGCAACATGAGAACATTTAATAGTCTCCATTTTCCTTGCAGAGTTTAATATACTTTACATTAATATCTGAATATTCCCACCAAGTTCCTGCCACTCCTCTCCACCAATTCAATTCCTTTAATTACTTTGCTTTCAAGGAAAGCATTTTTTAAAAATCTATCTCTACAAAAAGATATAAAAAGGAAAAAGTAAACCCATTCACTGACAACTCTTACAATATGCTTTTGATAGTATCATAGAGGAGATTCATCTACTGGTACAACTGTCATTCTTATTAAAATACAGAGAGAAACACAAACAAACTTGAATCTGTACACTTAATACTGTATTAGTGATATTTCTTATCTTTAAGAGACAGATAATAATTTATGAAATGCTATAGTGTCTGGCGTTTGCTTCAAACAATCTGGGAGGAGGAAAAGTATAGTAGACTAAAAACATTTTTTATTAGTTAAAATTGGAAGCTGGCTTCTAAGTTCTTTCTACATTCGTAATTTAAATATACCCAAACACACACCACAGACATACCCCTTTTCATATAAAAAGTCAACATACTATAAATAAAAATGTTTCAGGTCCATGTACATGGTACCTAATTAAAACCCCACATAAATAATTAAAAAACAATATCATGAACACACCACCACTGTCTAACAATGGATGTGGGAACCATGTGTGGGAGGGAGGTGCAATCTTCACATTTTATGACAGAAAGCTGTAATTTCTAGGAAAGTATATATAAAGTGTAAACTCTTCCCAAAATCAAGGGAGTATGGTTGCTCTAACTATTGCTTACCTTCTAAGAGACTTAAGGCCTACAATCAGGAGTGGGGGTTAGAGCTCAGATAATGAATAGGTTTTTTTAATGTTCTACACTTCAACTTTAGAAAGCATCAGAGCAGTCATTTCAAAGTATAGTGCTCCTTTGTTTTAACATGAGCATTTTAAAACAGTCTTGATAATTTGATACGGGTAACAGATACCTTGTTCTTTTAACTTAGGGAGCAGCTTGTCTAAAACCACCATTTTGCCACTGTTGGTTACTAGATGCATATCCGTTGTATAAGGTGGACCAGGTTCCGCTCCATCAAAGAGATATGGATGATTACAGCACTTTCTCAACTGCATCAGGATGTTCAATAACCTCATTTTGTCCATCTTGCCTGCTGAGTTGAGTATATCTATATCCTTCATTAATATCCGAGTATACCTATTCAAAGAAGAAAAATATTTTTAGAGCTTAAATGTTCCTTGATCAACCCCTGCCACTTTACATACTTAATCCCCTTCCCCACCTGAACCCCCAAATATCTGTAAGAAACTACTCATCAACTTCTAGGGATGGTTAGGAATTTAACATCTGTAACCTCTTTCTTTTTGCTTCCATTTTTCTTTATTGTACATAGTGTTATAATGTTCACACTTATGCCTTGGGCCTTGAGGATATTATTTTAAAAGTACAAAAACAGTTCCCTTAGGTAGAATTAAAACAAAGCAGTAAGATATTATATCTTTAATAAAGCAAAACTTTAAAAAATGTAAGTTTTAAACATAATTTTAGTTTGTAGTTTTTTGCAACAGAAAGTGCCACTATTCGATTTTTATATACCCCATAGCTAGTGCAGCATTTAGGTAAGAACCCTAACATCTGAGAAGACAAGAAGACTAATGAAATGGTAAGGCATGATGATGAGAATAATATGAAAACAACGTGATTTACATATATATATAAATACATAGGGAGAGGGAGCTATGTCTGTGAGGTAGGTCTGTGAAGCTACTACAGCCATAAGCTAAGGCCAGATTATAAAAAGCCTTGAATGTATACTAAGAATTTAGACATTGTTATGAAAGAATGAGTAATTTGTCTAAGCACTAAAGTTTTAGAGCCTTGGATCCTTTGAACAAAATAAGTAGCCTAAGCAATCTATGCTTAAACAACAAGGCAGACCTTTCCATCTCAATTCTGATATAAAGTTCACTCAAATGTGTAACTAAAAAATATTTGTCTTCTCTTAGCATTGACTCATTTTAGTTCTGTTTTAGAGCCATCCAAGCTAAGCCTAGTATCTGCTACTCTTTCAAAAGTTTTGAGGACATTTAGGACCGACCACCTTCTACAGATAACCTCTTACCCAGATAACATGCCCAGTTCTCTATATGATATTAAGTCCTTTAACCAAACAACTCTGGTCTCTTGCAAATACTTATCAAAATTTAAGTATGCACTTAAATATACATGAAATATAATGAGACCACTAAAGAAAAGGGTAAATTTATTTCCCCTCCTTTGAACACAAAATTACGTAACAGTATCATCTTCTGCAGCCACTTCACACTGCTGACCTAGTATTCATGAACTACTAAGTGAACTGTGTATCTCCCACACTGTGCTATCGCAGTTTCCTTCTTAAAAAACCCAAATAGATGGCTTCATAGGAAACCCATTGATTTAAATCCCAATTTTAATTTTGGATTTATAAGCCTTCCATCCTGATTCTGTCATCTAGTAAGTTCAAAATTTTCTATAACGAACTTAATGAGCAAGACCTCTACTACATGACGAGAAACCTCTTTTCAGGTTGAGTTCAATCCAGCAAACTGCAATTCCATGAAAACACAAATGAGGAAAACAAAATACAAATGAAATTTAGGGAAGAATCAATAGTGCTATCAACTACATCTGAGAACACATACCATTCCCTTTGCATTTTGCTGAGGCCCACATAGATTTTTACTTCCTTCTTTGGAGGCAAACTCTTTTCAACATCAGCCTTAATTCGACGAAGCAGGAATGGACGCAAAACCTTAAAAAGGACAAAAATAAATAGGTAATACCAATATTACACATAAGGTCATATTTCAGCATCTTAGAATTGTATATAAAATATATGAAAAAGAAATTTCTCTTCATGAGTATCAAGTGATTTCTTAGGACTTCTTCCTGCAAATACAGTCACATCTCAGTATCTCTGGGAGACTAGTTCCCATCTCCTTCCCTTTGAATATCAAAAGCCACAAATGCTCGAGTCCATTATATAAAATGTAGTATCTGCATATAACCTACAAACATCCTTCCATATACTTTAAATCATCTCTAGATTACTTGTAATAACAGTTAATAGAATGTAAATGCTATGTAAATACTTGTTACACTATACTGTTTAGGGAATAATGACAAGGAAAAGGTCAGTATCTTTAACACAGATGGAACCATCCATTTTATTTTTATCTTTTTTGGGGGCAAATATTTCCAATCCATAGTTGATTGAATCTATGGATGTGGAACCTACGGATATGAAGGGCTAACTGTATATAATTTATTACTACAGGGTTCCTGAAGGGTAATAATACAAGATCATTACTTATTCAATACAGGCATACCTCAGAGATATTGTAGGCTCAGTTCCAGACTACCTCAATAAAGCAAGTCACATTTCCCAGTGCACCTGAGAGTTACATTTACACTATTAAGTGTGCAATAGCATTATGTCTTAAAAAAAGTACATACCTTAGTTTAAAAATACATTATTACTTTAAAAATGTGATACATTATTTAAAGCAATACATTGTTGCTTTAAAAACAGAGTAAACACATGCCTTGGGAAAACGGTGTTGATAGACTTCCTTGACACACGATTGCCACAAACCATCTATTTGTTTTGAAAAGTAAATTTTTCTTAAAAATACAGTATCTGTGAGGCACTGCAAAGCGTAATGAGATGTGCCTGTATACATAATGAGTATGTACCTGTTATACTACCATAAAATACTAAAAACAGTAGTAAATTTTTAAAATGATGTTTTCAACAATTTGCTGCCTTTCAGGTCTAAAACCAGTTACTTGCATGCAGACTGTCTAACATTGCTTAAGAATGGGCAAGGATCTCATTAAGATCTCTTTTATGGTTGGTCTTTAAACTTACTGTCCTAACTTACGGAAAGAATATACAAGTATACACTTCAATAAATCATGAGTGTACAGTTCTAGAAATTTTATTCAAGTACTGTAAAAGTACCCATGTTATTACCTAAATAGAACACTCTAGAAATCATTTTTGTGTCCCTTCCAGTCACTATTCCCTCTTCTCCTTCCCAAGGGTAAGCAATATTCTTACTTTTAGACACCATAAATTAATTTCGCCTATCACTTTTAACTTTATATACATGGACTCACTCAATAAGCACCCATTTATATCTGGTTTCTTTTATTAAACGATGAGACATTTCCACGTTATATGCAGTAGTAGTTCACTCATTTTCATAAAACAGTAAGTTTTAAAATTAACTATACAACTAAAGATACACTTTTTTGTGCCTCTCTTCTATCTACACTGGTTTTTAAAAACAGTGACTATATCACAAAACAAATTAGATATCACTGGGGAAAGTATCATCAACATCTCTCTAATATCACCATGTAGAAAAGCTAGTTTAGCCCTAGTTGACAGGCGCCAACAACTGCCAGATGTGTAAGTGAAGATCTTCAGCTCCAACTGGTTCTCTTCTGGCATTGTCCAGCTAAATAAATCTAACTGGATAAACCCAGGTGTAACCCACAAAGAAACCACCCGGTCAACCCATAAATTCTAGGGTTGTTAATAAACTATTAAGTGTTTTGGGGGTGGGGGAAATAAGGGAGTCTTATTTACCCCTAAAGGGGGGTTAAGGTGTTTTTGGGGGGTGGAGGGAATAAGGGGTTCTTTTGCAGCATTAGATAACTAACGCATCAAATAAGAGTTATCTGATTCCTAAGCATATCCATCCTGACTTCTAAACCTTCCTTTCATTATGAGACCACAGGTGCTACTGTAGAAACTTCAAAGTAAAGAGCAGGAGAAAATAGAGAGGTAGCTACAAGACCTCTTCTCCCTGACTTCATAAGCATTTTCAAAATACCCTGTGAACAAAACAGTTTCCAAATCTGGTTGATTCTGCTCTGTGGGTTATTTGTTTGCTTTACCTAGATGTACCTACGTATTTACTACAGGAGAGCCAAGAGCAGAAGAATAAGGGAAAAAAAAATGCATGAAAAAAATCATGTCCTTCTGCCTCCTTTTCTACCCCCAAGATTACATATACACTCCACAATCCTTGGTCTAAGTAAACACGAAGAGAGTGCTCAGACGCATGAATGCCATCTGAATTGAAATAAAGGTAGCTAGGAAATTACTACCTTCAAATATTTAACAAAACGCTCAGTATTTAAGAATTTTAAAGTACTTTATAATGAAATATTTGAACAATTATGAACTTAATTTTTTTTCCCTGCTCAAATATCCACTCTAACTAGGCATTGTGCCAGGTATACAAAGACAAATAAGTATGTGCTTCCTGCCTTTGTGCTTACAATCCAGTATAGAAAACACTTGTGAATCATCTCAATATCCTCTGCAAAGTCCTATAACGTTAGGGTGCTCAGATTGTTAAAGATGGAATACACAGATGACTAGGCCAGCCTCAGCCTGGCTGGTTCAGTGGAGGTGATGTCACTGAGTCTTGGACTAGGTATTAGTAAAGAGACCAGGAAAAAGGATTCTAGATGTAGCAAAAATGATAAGCAAAAATAGATTAAAATTACCACAATGTTTACAGAAAACTGACAGTGGGGTCAGCAATCTATCAAATTAAAGCTCAATATATTAAGTAAAACAGATGCCAAAGAACGTTAAAAAGGTTAGGTCATGGAGGGGCACAATTTTATTCCCCAGGGGACATTTGCAATGTCGAGAAATTTTTGGTTGTCACAACTGGAGGAATGTTACTACTGCCATCTAGTGAGTAGAAGTGTCAGGGATGCTATTAAACATACAACACCACACAGGACAATCACGTTCTCCCCTCTCTCCTTACCCCTCTCAAAGATATACCCAGACCAAAATGTCAAAGGAGGCTGAAAATTCCTGAGTTAGGTCATTAAGGGCTTTATATAACATTCTTACAAGCTCCTGCTTTAACCTGCTGACCAGCGTATTTTAATTTGGGGTCTGTTAGAGAAGTTTCTCTACCTACCAACTTTTACCTGTGAACCGTCCCAGGAAGCTGTATGTAAAAACAAAGCTACACAGCAAAGCAAAAACATACCAACTCTGCTCATTATGCAAGGCAGTTGCTTACACACAATGTTACTAGATTTAAGAAAAAACAGATGGATCTTTCGCCCTTTCAAAAGTGAACCTGTTAGATTCTTCTACGGAATGTTAATTGAACTAAGCTTTAAAAACGTGTCTATAAGGCCAGGCGTGGTGGCTCATGCCTGTAATCCCAACACTTTGGGAGGCAGGTTGATAACTTGAGTTCAGAAGTTCGAGACTAGCCTGGGCAACATGGTGAAACACCGTCTCTGCAAAAAATACAAAAATTAGCTGGGCATGGTGGCGAGTGTCTGTAATCCCAGCTACTCTAGACGCTGAGTGGGGAGAGACTGCTTGAGCCTGGGAAGCAGAGATTTCAGTGAGCCAAGATCAAACAACAACAAAAACTTGTCTATATTAATTATTATGCAATTCTTCTTTCCCCCACTGTACTTTGTATAACTGTAAGAGATTACTTTTTCCCTTAAGTCAGGATTCCACTCTAGGTTCCAACACTGAACAACCACACATCATCCCCTACATTGATTGTAAGATGTAACAGTTAAGTGTCAGAATTCAAGCAGATCTGATTCTTAAGCCATTGAGCTTTTTATTAGCAGGAAAATAATCTACTAATTTAAACCTTTATCCTTTTTCCCATCAGAAATATGCTTTAACACTACTCCAAAATACTTACCATATGAAGCCTCTCAACTAGTTTTTGATCCCCAAGGCAGTTGTTTGTATCAAACCAGGAATCAAAGTCCTAGATTAACAAAAAAAAATACTCAGATCAGAGATAATATTAATAAATACCCTATAATACCAGATATAGAAATGATTTCTAGAATTAGTAATTTTAATTGTAACCCACAAAAAAAAAACACTTAGTCCAACCCCATTTCTCCTGTGTCACTGTTATCAACAAATTTTAAAACAAGTAGATCAGAAATCACACTACCTTCTAAATATTCTTCTCAAAAACATCAAAATAAGTTTCACAGTAAAAAGATAACTTGGAAAGCAAGTTCTATAGAATTAGAAAATTAATATTCTTGAAAAATATCTTTCAATTTTCATAAAAGCTTGAAAATTAAAACATTTTATAGTTTGTTCTCTAAGACCATTCAGACTTCTCAAATACAAGTTTACAGAACAATGTCAATTTTAATCAAACTTACTAAATGAAATTGAAATTATCAGCATTTCATTAATATTTGGTTAGGCTACAAGGACAGTTTCTCTAATCTCATCTCCTGAAAATATGTATTATATATGTGCTTTGTTTTTGAGTAAACATAATCTTAGAATTCGCTGCTTTAACTAAAGTAAATGAAAGTGTCAATGTAGTGAGAAAAAAGGAATTATCTCAAGAACATCAAAATATGTAAAATCGAAACTAAAACTGCTTTTCGAGTTTGATTAAATATCTTTTTACAACACAAAATCACTATTCTTTCAAAATAATCTTCAACAGAAAAAAACAAAATTAATACCTTTTTATAACTTAACTGTACAAAAATATACTAACGTGGTGCTCTTCAAATCCCTCCAACACACACAAGATGCCAGCTATGCAAACAAAGTTTCAAAAATAAATGCTGGTCCAGCAAAAAAAAAAAAACTGCAATTTCTAATAGCAAAAACTCTTGACATAGCTATTATATTACTATTAACAGTTCAAATAGCTAATTAACGATTGCTATCATTTCTATGACTACAAATAATCCATAAAGATTAGGTTATATTTGTTTGTTAGACTATAGTAAAAGAAAAGCCAGACGGATTTCACTAAATTTGACAGTCACCCTTGGCACTTAAAACATAAGCAATGTGAGGTATACAAATCACTTCAGGAATACCTTGAGCAGCACCTTAAAACCATAACCAGTCAACCTAGAGCCACTGAAACAAAATCAGGCTAACATGACTTACCAAATAGAAGTGACAATTTATGCCATTTCAGATAGAGAAAACAATGATTTAAAGTAGACTGAGGCCTAGCGTGGTGGCTCACGCCTATAACCCCAGCATTTCGGGAGGCCGAGACAGGCAGATCACTTGAGGCCAGGAGCTTGAGACTAACCTGGACAACATGGCAAAACCTCATCCCTACAAAAAATACAAAAACTAGCCAGGCATGGTGACACACACCTGTAATCTCAGCTACTGGGAAGGCTGAGGCACAAGAATCACCCAAATTCCAGAGGTGGAGGTTGCAGTGAGCCAAGATCGCACCACTGCACTTCAGTCTGTATGACAGAGTGAGACTATGTCTCAAAAAAATATAAAATAATAATAATAATGAAGTAAGATTGAAACTAAAGGCACAAAAGTAAATTCCCATTATACAGAGACAACCTAGGAGATAACACCAGGCTAACTATATAAATAAAAGCATAAAAAATTAATAATAATCTCAAGCCACGCTAAAAGACAGGCCACTTTTATTACAAAAATATATAGCATTAAGCAAAATATTATTATTACCAGAAAGCATCAGGAAATACTTACATCCGCGGAATTAAACACATCTGGCAACAGAAAGTTAAGAAGTGACCACAGCTCATGCAAGTTGTTCTGAAGAGGTGTTCCAGTCAATAATAGTCTATTTGTAGTCTTGAATTCCCTCACTATTTCTGACAACTGAAAAAAAAGAACCAAATACATCATTAGAATATTCTGCATATTACATTATTTACAACAGCAAAGACCTGGAACCAACCCAAATGCCCATCAATGATAGACTGGATAAAGAAAATACGGCACATATGTATCAGGGAACAGTATGCAATCATAAAAGAGAATGAGTTCATGTCCTCCGCAAGGACATGGATGAAGTTGGAAGTCATCGTTCTCAGCAAACTAACACATGAACAGAAAACCAAACACTGCATGTTCTCACTCATAAGTGGGTGGTGAACAATGAGAACACATGCACACAGGGAAGGGAACATCACACACCAGGGCCTGCTGGGGAGTGGGGAGAAAGCAGAGGGAGAGCATTAGGACAAATATCTAATGCACGCGGGTCTTAAAACCTAGATGATAGGTTGCTAGGTGCAGCAAACCGCCATGGCACATGCATACCTACGTAACAAACCTGTACGTTCTGCACGTGTATCTCATAACTCAAAGTTAGACGAAAAAAAAATCTGTACTTCAATCAAATTCTTACATGAAGGCTTTTCACATCTAAGTATTAAATTACCTTAGATTTTTCATTTTTGATCCTGTGAGCTTCATCTATTACTAAGTATCTCCAATTAAATTTTTTGAACACAGACTTCTCTTTAATAAGCATTTCATAAGATGTTACACATACGTCCCATTCTCCTGGTAATAAAACGTCTCTGACAAAAGCAGCCTGTGTAACAAGAGAAAAAAATTACATCACACAGAAATAAACCACGCATTAAATTTACTGATGACAAGTAATCTAATATGTAAAAGGAGATGGGAATATTAAAAAGGAGTAGAGTAGCTATATTATGCAAATGTTTAGAATCAGCTATTCTTAACACTAAAGTAACATCATTAATCATTTAAATGTCAGAACCATTAAATTTTTAAAAACTGACAAAGTTAACCCGTGCAAAATTCAATAGACACTTAAAATGGCTTTCTGCAATTCCACTAGATATGGAAATCCTTAGGAGACAGGTTTAGACAAAAAAGAGGGAGGTTTTAACATAAAGAAAGGAACAGGGCGGAAAGACAGCAGTAGTAGGCATCTGCATTCCTTTCAGGTTTATAAATGTATTAACACATTCCTAATAGTATTATTTTAAAGGTAAGAAAACTGAAGCAAAGAGTGGTTATTAAGTAATTACCACTCTCTGGGCTCCCAAACAAACAAACAAAAATTGATAACTTAAAATACCCAACATAACTAGAAAAGGAAAGAAAAAAAATCTAGACTTCTCACTCACAGGTAAATGAACGGGAAATAAAAAACAAGTACACAGCTATTCAGTAGAGTCTGAATAAATTTCCAAATCTGAGCTTTATATACTAATGTTATTATTTCCATCTCTTCTTCCCACAAGGATGTTGTTAACTGATCGAAATTTTAACTTATTTTGTTAGATATCATAATAAATCACCAAATAACTATATATGACTCAACTGTCTTTAAAAACCGTAATTCTGTGACTATTACCACTACACACGTTCATCTAAAAATGTGGCTCCTTAAATTTCCAACCAACTCACATTTCAAAACATCTTTTAAAAACGAGAAAATACTTCTAATGACAGCAAAACCACTGATTTTATACAACCACTCCCAAAAGGGAAACACTATATATTCTTACAGCTTTCTACAGTTTCTAGTGTCTTCTTTCCAGTATGATTTTCTTTTTTTTTTTTTTTTTTTTTTAGAGATGAAGCCTTGCTCTATCGCCCAGACTGCAGTGCAGTGGCGCCATCTCGGCTCACTGCAACCTCTACTTCCCAGGTTCAAGCAATTCTCCTGCCTCAGCCTCCCAAGTAGCTGGGACTACAGGCCACGTGTGTCACCTCACCGTTAACTTTTTATGTTTTTAGTAGAAACAGGGTTTCACTGTGTTAGCCAGGATGGTCTCGATCTCCTGACCTCATGATCCGCCTGCCTCAACCTCCCGAAGTGCTGTTTTTTATTCACCAAGACGACGCTACATTTGTAAATACTAATATTTGCGAAGATCCGGTCTCTTTTATCCTTCCTCCCATTATACCCATACTCAAGCCTGAATTCAAATTATTTTAGCATCAAAAATGTAATGAAATACTAGAAACTTACTCTTTGTTCTTTATCTCCTATCAAACAAACAGATCTAAGTGTTGGTACCCATCTCTTGAATTCACTCATCCAGTTGTGTAATGTAGACTTAGGAACCAAAACCATATGAGGACCAGGAATGTTTCTATAATGTTTCATGTATCCAAGAAGAGAAATTGTTTGAAGAGTCTTTCCTAGGCCCTAAAAGATTTCAAAATAACCATGAAGCAATGAAAAACAAAAACATTATTTCAAAATTATACCTCCCAACAAACAGAGATAAATATTTAAGAGAAATGCCACATATTTATAATAGTTAATAAATGGCAAAAACTTAACATATGTCAAAGTTTGCAAGTGTTATGTCATATAATCTTCACAAGTCTCTAACGGAGGTATTATTATCACCCGCATAAGGCCCAGTTGCCAGCTAGCATTGAAACACGTTTCTTTTGACTTCATACTTTCTCCAACCAATTAAACGTTTTAGCACTATAGCAATAAGGAAACTTTTTAAAACATTCATTACATAACTAGCAGTTAACAAAAGATAAAAAGTTTTATAAGAATTGTACAAGCTACCACCTGGAAAAAATTCTTATCATTTATAAACAACTAATGACCTCACTTGTGTTTTACAGAACTGGAAGGAAATAAATCAGTGTACTATAAAAGTCATCCAAAAACATGTTTCTCAAATGTATTGTTTTTAAATTTATTATATTTTCACAGATGGAAATTTCTCACAATTAAAATACAGATCACACGCAATTAAGGCAAGCTGCTTACACTAGTTTCAGAGAGGATCCATTTGCTAACAGTTGTAGACTGTAAGAAACTTCTGTCAATTTAATGTATAAGATATTTTAAATACAAAACATACCCTTCAAAAAATCTACCAACACATACCATTTCATCTGCAAGGATACCATTGATGCCATTCTCATACAAAGAAATGAGCCAGTTTAATCCTCGGACCTGATAATCTCTCAGTTTACCCCATTTTACATCTAAGAACAAAAGAAAAGCACAATATGCATTTTAAGACAAGAAATACAAGGCAATCTCTTCATCTGGGCCTACACATATATACTGACTTCATTTTCATTACTAAGGGATTCTTGAAGAATAGGAACTCTGCAAGTTCCAAACTACTAGAGGTAGTTGCCATGGTCTGAAGTAGATACGCTGGACATGGAAGATAACCAAGTGCGGGAAACATGACTGCAGGAATCAGAGTACCCACTCCAACAACTCAGTTCTTATGTTACCCATATACTGGTCCAGGAGACTCTCTGGCCTCTTGTCTTTTTAATGACAACCCAAGTGTTCCTAACCAAGTATTTTCAGCTTTCATAAAGACCAGATACAGGTTATCTGCAGATTTTATTTTCTTTCTAATAAAAAAAAGGAAATAGGAAATTCCTAAGTTACTTTTCCAATATATCTTATACATTCCAATGTGCTCTCTTTCAGGGTATACTACTTATTTTGCTCCCCAGAATAATTACCAAATATACATAACAGTCACCTGATTTTTCTTTTTTAATATGTACACAGCGTACCCCCCATTTCCTTTTGAAAAACACTTGAGGATAAAAAGCTAACCAACAAACAAATACATTTCACAAAATATTAAAACAAATTAATATAAAAACATCAGAAAATAACTAAGCAGATGTGTTCATGAAGTACCTTTTTTAAAATAAATTAGTTTTCTTATCTGGGACAAATATAAAGCAAAATGATCCCTAGTTTTACATATACTTCAGGGCAATAACAAACACAATGACATTTTATGTAACTTTGAAACATAGCACTACTGTCCTATAATATGCTCTCATCTCCATCAAAATCTGAAGTTTATTTCACAACCAATAAACATCTAAGATTACTAAAAATCTGCTTCACAGATAGTAGCCTACACAAATCCAAAACATTAACCAAAGGATGTCTCAAAGGGCAATTTTTTAAAAAACAACTGTGTTTAACATACATGATGGAGAGTCTTCAAATCGAGTGCAAACATTGGTTGCTTTGGAGCTTTCTGTTAGTAGTTCTTCATCCTCCTCCTGCTCTGTTCTACGGTGTCGGTAACTGTTAAGATGAAAACAAAATTACCTGATTTGAGTTTTGGTTTTAATTATCAGGTACTATTTCAACATCATAGTCAAGTGGCTGACCAAGATTGCACAAAATTAAATTTCTAATAGGCATCAACCAGTGGACAGTAGACAATATGAGTAAATTTAAATCTCCAACATTTCAGATAATTATTTAAAATATACATTAGTTATTAAAATACAGCAGTACTATAGATTAACCAGAACTCAATAAACTCAAATGTGATAGTCAAATTTCAAGAACTATGTAGTCAGAAAATCTCAATATTTGAATTTTAAAGTGTACCTTTTTAAAAATCTTTCTGCCAAAGAAAAAAAAAGTTCCAGAAACCACATGTTTAAAACTGCAACTTTGAGCAAAAGGGGCACCATGAGGACTCAGAAATTTAAGCAGTGACCAGGGATTAATCAAAAATATTTTTAAATACACATCTAAATTCTACATCCTAAGAGAATCAGACATACCCCCTTAAAAACTGATTTTCTCAAGTTTTAATACTGCCAATTAATCTCTAAAGGGCTCGGTTCAATAAAACTATTAATACTTACTCCCCAATTCTGACACTTTCAACAAATATTTTCATCTTATTTAGAAAAAGGCAGGTTATGCCCCTACTGAGACCCCTGAATCTAATTTGTAACTTCACTTCTACCAAAACTACATGCTTGGTAAAAGGATAACTGGCCTTCCAAGATAGAAGCATTCCTCAGAAATTCAAGGGCCTTCTTGTTTGTTATATATGCTTCTAATCATAATCAGTACATCCTAGTCTGTTATTCCTTGTACTTCTCTGCATTCTGAGCCTATGAAATTGAGTACAAAGATCTACTTCCATCCTCAATTTATTCTCCATAAACTGGGAGATAATTTTAACATTTTTATAAAATATCCTTTATAGTTACTCTCAAAATGCTTATTACAGTTGTAAAACTTAAAAGCTGAGTTGTCATTTATTGTTAAAAACTGAATATAATTGTGAATGCCTAAAAAAAAAAAAAAAAACAATGTATTCCTGGCCAGGCACAGTGGCTCATGCCTGTAATCCCAACACTTTAGGAGGCTGAGGTGGGTGGATCACTTGAGGTCAGAAGTTCGAGACTAGCCTGGCCAACACGGTGAAACCCCATCTCTACTAAAAATACAAAAATGAGCTGGGCTTGGTGGCGTGAGCCTGTTATCCCAGCTGAGGTACAAGAATCGCTTCAACCCCAGAGGCACAAGTTGCAGTGAACCGAGATCACACCACTGCACTCCAGCCTGGGTCACAGAGTAAGACTCTGTCTCAATATAAACAAACAACAAAAAGATTTTTAAAAATGTATTCCTGATACTCAAAGACAATACTATCACCCTCATTACTTTAGCTAAATTAGCTTCCCATTTAAAATGGTTTGAAGAGTAAAGAAATCTGTTAACTAGGACTCTTTTTCCCCAATAACACTATTTAATACATCAAGCTGAACAATGTATTATGTATTTCCAAAAGAATCTTTTTTATCTTATAAAAAAGATAAATTAGGATAATAATAAAATAGAAAAGAATAACAGAAGTGTTTCTTTTCGAGACATCATATTGACTATCCCATAACAATATTCATTAGTTTCCAGTTTCACACCATGACACTAATGATATTTAAATATCTGCAAACTTCTGAAGTCTGAAATATTTTAAGAAGTATTAAAATAGTGTTTTGGTCACAATGGATGAGAAATAAGATATACTGAATGAGTGGAATACCCCAAATAAAAGGTATTATGCTTACCACGATAACCCCTTCAAGATGAAGCTCATACTTTCCTTTCAACAAACTGTGTAGTGAATTTAACCTTGTTGATATTTTAGACAATCTTTTGTATTTTAATTACTGATCACAGTTTTCACTTTGGGAATTTTACACAAAGCCATTTCAGGGAGCCAAGACTGTCCTAAATCTACTATTACTAATTAAACATCTTATTTATCCAACCAGGACAAAAATTCTAGAGAATTTCCAAATTCAACATCTAAGAATTACTTTCAACAACCACCAAAGGATGGCATACAACCTGACACTTCAATTTATATAAAAACAACTAAGTATGTAACAAAAAGTTTAAACAAGCTGCTGTGATGTAAGTTATCACAATATCCCATACACCACACTTTAGATAAAATATCGTCAACATCTGTATGTGATGGAGGAGCCTAGAGCACACCCAAGTCAGATTCAAATTCAAGTCTGGATCATTTTTCAATGTGATATTAAACAAGCCACTTAACCTCTGCATTTGGTTCCTCTCTGAGGAATGACATCTAAATTCCATACTCAATATGATTGTTACAATTCATAAACTATGTAATGCTACAAAAAATAAGACGTTATACAGTTTTACTGTTCTTTTTTTTGGTAGAGATGGGATCTCCCTACGTTGCCCAGGCTGCTCTCACACTCCCGAACTCAAGCAATCCTCCCACCTTGGCGTCCCAAAATGCTAGGATTACAGGCAAGAGCCACTGTGCTCTAACCAATATGCATACTTTTATATACTTATGCACTTATGGCTAAATCATGCCAAGCCAAGCAGGGCCAAATAAATAATGGCACTAAAATAATTTTTTAAGTTATTTACCATAGTGATTTTATGCTTCTACTGAAGACAATCAAAAATAAGTTTGGTTGAACTATGAAGTTTGAACTATTACTCACTCGCCAACTGATAGTAAGTTCTGCTTCTCATCTTTTTTTATTCGTGGGCGTCCTGGTTTCATCTTCAAAGGTGAAGTTGGAGTCTTCTGAGCAGCAGGCTGAATGAAATGTGCAAACAGTTCTGTCTGCTTTAATAAATACTCGAATCTATTTGCCCGGTCAGTTTGCTGAAAAAAAATTTAAGATACATTTTATCAGAGTATCAATTAAAACGTCAGAAATCAAAAAGTTTCAGCATGCCTCCATACAATGAACTCAGCAAAAAAAAAAAAAAAAAAGGAACTACAGATACATGCAACAACATGGATGAGTTTCAAAAGCACTATCCAAAGTGAAAGAAGCCAAACACAAAAGACTACATGCTGTATGATTCCACTTAAATGAAATGCTAACTAGTGATAGAAAGCAGATCAGAAGTGGCAAGAAGGTGGGAGCAAGAACTGATTACAAAGGAACAGGAGCAAACTTTTTGGGGATGATGGAACTACTCTGCATCATGATTGTGACAGTATTTAAATAAATATTTGCTAAAACTCATTGAATTGCAAACTTAAAATTATTTTATGTCAATTATACTTCAATATAGTTGATTGGAACAATTTTTAAAATATTAAGAGGCATTGTGCAACACAAGTGAATTTATTCAGAAGCTGGAAAAAATGTGACAAATTTTAAAACGATATTGGGCTTGATACTATTCCTTCCTTTCGTATCTGCCATCTGCCCCTTTGAATGTTTCCTCTTTTTATAAAACCAAGAGAATGGAAGACATTTACTTGGGCAAAAAAAAAACCCTTAAGAGTCTTGAAGACAAATTTTCATAAAAATAATGAAATTGAGAGCCATCAGGCAGCCTTTATACAGAAACAATAATAGTTTGATGAAACAAAGGAGAAGCAAGACAAGAAAAGCTCAATAAACAGGGAAACCAACTACTTAACATCTCCGTCTATAAATGTCTAAAATGTCAGTTTGGGAATGAATTACAAAAAGACATTTGCCTAAAAACACAAGAAGTATCCAAATGCCATAATGTTGTAACAACTATGTATTTTTAAAAGGAACCCAATCATTTTTTAAGGTCACACCAATGTAACAACTGAAACCCAACTTGCTATTAGGAAGGCACATGGTTATAGTGTTTCATTGGGTCACAAATGGCAGTCACAGCAGCAAATGAATCTGCACAATAACAAGACTGTGAACATGCTAGAATCCCAGTAATGTCCTACAGATGACAAGCCTCCGCTATTTATGTTTCCCAAGATTACGGACTGTTTTTACAGTACTGAACAAGATACATATGTGAATCCAAATTTTACATAATTACATTTCTTAATTTATAGATAATGAAAGATAAGCCAAGAGCATGCATCTAGAAGATGTTTGGACTGAAAAAATAATTATTGTGATTATGTCTGGAATCAAGACAAACTGCTTGAGAGAATTAAAAGGTTAAAATTGAAATGTCTTGAGGGAGAAAAACTAACAGAACCTAAAAAGCAGAAACAAGAGAGTATGATTAGCAACCTGGAAGAAATCAATTACAAAATCAAATGGAAATTAAAGTGAATAGCTTTGGATTAGCTTCTTTCTCTGAGAGAGGAAGAAATGAGGTAGGACAGCAGAGGCTATACATATGTTTGAAAAGAGAAAGAAAATAAAGACAGGCCTGCAATTCTTTGTGGAGGAAGACTGAAAATGAGGGCATGGGAGAAATGGAGAAGGAAGACTGATGAGAGTGGGCACATTTTAGAATGGCTAAATGAGACTGACAGGCAATAAATGCTCAAAGTCCAAGAAAATAAAAACCATAAACTTATTCTGACACCGATCAGCACTAGTATTTAGTTTTCTGAAGTAGTACTCAGCATTCTGGGTTCAAGAATGAAGAGTGGATAGTGAACTTATCTATGGTTAGGAACTAGCAGATGACAAGGGAGTTTGCTTAGGAAAAAACTGTTCAGGTGAAGATCATGATGTCAAAAAATGAAATGATGCTGGGAGACTGAAAAACCTGGAAGAAATGAGAAAAGTTCCAATAAAGGCCACTAAGAAAACGAAAAGCATTGTAGAAAACCACTGAAAAACCTCCATTTCACAGTCAAATTTGTGTCCCAAATAATACTTTGCAAAAATGTTAAGAAACTTGGAAGGGGCCAGATCATAAGAAAGGGGGCAAATAAAGAAGCACAAAATAATCTATGCAATAATAGAAAAATAATGAACGAGGGTGATATGGAAAAGAGAATAAACTTGTAAGTAAACTTATTATTAAAAAGTATGCAGTAATGTCATGGACATCTTGAGTACACCTGAAGAGGAGTTTTCATTCACTGAGGTAACGCTAAGGTATGTTAAGTAAAAATTATGAATACAGTTTTGGATATTCTCAAGTAAGAGGTATGAATAGGATTTTAAAATAAATGAAAATACTGATTACAGGCTTCTGGGCTAGAGGTTAAGTATTTGAAAATATTCAGTTTAAAGATACCAGGTAAAAACCAGTAAGAATCAAACTGTCTAGGAAGAAACATTCAAATTTTAATAAGGAAAGACAAAGGAATAAAAAAGCAAAGAGGATATTATCAAGGGAAAAAACGTCTTTCAAGGCAAGTCAAGATTTTTGAGGAATGGTCAACAATATCAAGCACAAATCAAGAAACTAAAACTAAGCCTCAGAATTGGCAATTAGATTCATTGGCATAGTGTCAGAATCTAAACTATAAAGAGTTAAAGCAGTATTAAAATATGTAGACTGTATTCAAAATCGTATTCACTTTAAAAAACAGAGGCAAATCTATTTTTTCTCTAAGTTTGATAGCAAAAAAGGTGACAGTTACATATATACATATGTAAACTACATAACAAATCAAACCTAAAGATAAATCATTTATAATTTACATAGTATTATATGCCCATAGAATATACATCATAATTTTAAGATTTTGAAGTTATTTAAGAGATTCAAAAATATTTACTGATTTGGAAGAGAAAGTCAAAGGACAAGAAAAAAGTATGTTTTAAAAAATATGTGAGATCTGCTATGTGCCAGATATTGTTCTGGGTACTGAAGACAGAAAGATTAAGACACTGTTCTTACCCTACAGGAGCACACTGCGTAGTGGTATTCTTATTTAATACATTGTTATTTTAACTTTTTAAGATTTCAATACAATTAAATGAGTTTAATTCATATAAAGCATTCAGAACAGGGCCAGATACGGCATACATTCACTGTTAGCCACTACTACTATTATTAAAACTGAATTTAAATTTAAAGCTCTGTGTAGGTACTGTTTAAGTCAAGTCATAGTTTTGAGAAGTTTCTTAGACGATACGGAATGTGAACTGGGACTTGAATGATTCCAGTACAATGTCATGTTCTTTTTGTAAAGATCGCATCTATAATGTAAAAATGCTGTGAGCAAGGAGCATATTTCTTTTTTTGGTAACTAGCAGAGTATAATGCTAGCCAGGTGCAGAATAAACATACATTGAGTAACTATTCTGGTCACCTCACTTTCAAGGTTAAATTTTCAAAGGTGTTGTTAACATAACCAGATAATAACATCATATTATGTTAATTCATACAATACTTCCATTTGGTTTACATAGACACGTAAGATATGGAAGTTATAGTATTCCACATTACACATACTTCAAATGGATATCTGTGCCCTAATTGTAAAATTGAACAGATGTTGCTATGGTTTGACTGTGTCCCCCTCCAAATCTCCCACGTTGTAATTTAATCTCCAGTGCAACAGTGTTGGGAGGTAGGGCCTAATAAGAGGTGATTAGGAAAAGATTACTGTCATTATCTCAGGAGAAGGTTATCACCAGTGGGCTTGTTATAAAAGAAAGTTCAGTCCTGTCTTGCTCTCTTCTCTTGGCCTTCCTCCACACAATGACACTGCAAGAAGGCCCTCAGCAAATGCTGGCCTTGACCTTGGACTTCCCAACTTCCAGAACTCTAAGAAATAAATTTCCTTTCTTTATAAATTACCCAGTCTGTGGTACTGTTGTAACACAAAATGGACTAAGATAGACGTTTAGTACATTTAATTACCCAATAAAAAGTTTTCTTTACAGACTCTATTCATAAGCCTAGAACATACCATTTTTTCTTCATAGGTAGGATCTGGTTCTTGGATTTCTTTTTGCTTTCCAGGTGACGCATCATCAAATACTTCCTGGTAGAAAGAAAACATTAAATAGAATTGGTCTTCAAAAATAGTAAACATACCATTATAGACCAATTTCTGCCCAAACCACATCTCTAATAATATATTCTCACCTCAAACTTCCTAGAAACTTAAATGGTTGTCATCTAAACTAACAGAAAAACTGATAAAATGATATTAGATACTATGGGGATAACAACCTATTTAACCCATATAAACTGTATGATTGTTGCCAAGATTAGAACACAAGATTATCTTCATCATCCTAAAAGAAAACTACATTTAATACAAGCCAATCTGTTTCTCTTTTCTGTAATAACCATGAAACCAAATTAAACAGTATAAAATATGGGGAAAAGTTCCCTTTTTGTCACAAAACTACAATATCCACTGTGCTACTACACAAATGTATACAAAGAAATCAGGATTAGTTACCCTGATTTCCATCTGGAATATTACAAAAACTTTTTCTCCCAGCCTACACTGAATACTCTAACTACAGTCTGAGTCCTAAACTAGTAATAAATGTTACTCTTGCAAATGTATTTATCCTGACATTCATATGTGACAAGCAACAAAATCAACAACTTCTACACTGCAAAGTTCTATTCATCCACTAAAAAAAATTGGCAGAAGTATAATCTTCACTAATGATGCACAAATCTATGCTTAGCAATACATACTATAATAAAACTATCTGTGACCAAGAGGTTGTGGGGAGGAGACCTGGTATGGTACTGGAATAAAAGGTAAAATGACCTTAAGTCAAGTCTAACTTCATTGTTAAGACCCTTGGCACTTGTGTGACCCTATGCTCTTCATAAATCTCTGGTCTCCACATATAAGTGACAAAGCCACCTACCCAGTCGTTTACAAAATTCCAAAATGTCATGAAATGCAACCTACAAAAATAAAATGTGCTTTCCAACGGTAGTCATTATTTCTTCCACAGTTTAAAAAAAAAAAACCAAAAAATCTGACTTCCAGGCATTTTGACATCATTATTATTGGCATATCAATCTAGTCAATAGAGATGACAATGAACACAGAAGAGTTCCACATTGCCAAAAGGATAACTAAAAAACAAGTTGCTCCACTGACCTGTTAGTATCACACAAAAAGAAAAAAAGTAACTGAATACACAGGGAGGCTATTTCTGGGAAAATCAGCTTTGCCACACACACACACACACACACACACACACACACACACACACACAAAATTCATGAATGCTGAGTTTATTCTGTGATTTTAGAAAAACACCTTAGATCATACTTCCAAACAAGAAAAAGTCATTTATAAAATATTCATTTTCCAAGTGCAAAACAGATTAAATTGTGACATATATTAGGCATGTGTGCTCAAACTTAGTTTTGATCATGAATTGCAGTGATTCTGAACAGGAAACTGACGGTGCATTTTAAGACAAAAAAATCACACTATGTCAACAACAACAACAACAACAAAATGAGTCAGTGATAAGACGGATAAAAAATAAAATTCCTAATATTTCTATACTAGGAAGGTAAAAATAACTATGTTATTCAATAAATTGAACTGCCAAATACGTTTTTTTGGTAAGAACACGGCAGAGTAAGATGGGTGGGAAAAGGCTCACTTTTAAAGGCAGACCTGAGTTTTATCACAGGTTCTACCTAGCAGAACTCAAATTCCCCATCTGGCAAATGAAAATATCACTAATTTAATACGGTAGTGACATCATCTATACTCACATTTAAACTTAAAATCAATTTTCATTTAAAATAACAACTTCAAGTCAAAAAAGTTGACTTGCTTTTGGCTTAAAATTACTCTGTGTTCAGATATTAACAAGACCTCTGGTGAAAATTTATTTTTCCAAAGTTTGGATGGCAGACCCCTCTTTGAGAGGCTGAGGATAACTATGAACAGATTTTTGTCCAGAACTGCACATTTACACACAATTGCTTTGTGTCAAACCCCTTAAGCCTTGGAACCGGAATTCAAGTTAAAGAGCCCTGGTAACCCAAAAGAACCATTTCCTTAAGGGGAAAAAAGGCAACACTGAATATATTTTAATTTGAAAGAAATCTTATCCTAATCACTCAAAACTACAGGAACCATCAGGAGTTCCTATGTCACTAAACCTACCCTCACACTAAAAGTTCTTTAAAAGATTACTAACATTAATGTTACTTAACCCCAGCTACCCAAATAAAACTACTGTGCCAAATGCCTCAATGGTAAACTATGCTCCCATTTCCCCACTGTACAACGATTGTGCGTCAGGACTCATCTTCGGAGCAGTATTACTTTCATTCTAAGGATAGGAAAATCCCAGAAATCTTTGGGCTCCGACTTACAAAATACTTCAAAACAGGTCGAAGGCCAAGAATAACAATTGGAAGGAGCAATTACTTTTTCCCCAGATATTGCAAAGCCTGGAAGCATATCCAATTTACCCGCCTGGCAGCTTCCCCATCTTTCCAGCCCCCTCAGTACCGTCAGCATCCTCTGGACAACCCAAACCCAGAAGTCTCAGGAGCCGAGTGGTACTAATTTTTTTTTTTTTCCTAAGGCAAGAGGCCAAAAAGAGAAAAAGTGCCGGACTGAGAGCCAATCAACTGCGCCTGGTTCTCTAATTCATTCCTACACTTACTCATCCCCCCTAAATTCGATGGGGGATCCGAGACAGCTGCTGCTGCCTTGGTTGCTTCCCTTCCAGTGGAACAGTGCCTGGGAGGGGCTTCCTCTCCCTTCACAGAAGCAGCTGCGCCCCGCTTATCCCCACTGCGCACTCGGCCATCCAGCTCTCGCCATTGTTTCTGCCCAGAACAGATACCGCCCCCGCAAGGACCGGGAAGAAGAAAAAGAGGCCCAAGTCCTCGGACGCGCTGCTTTTAAATGCCTCCTTCACCCTGCCCGTGCATCCCGCTCCTAAGGGGTCATCTCCTCGCCCTTCCCCGAAGTTTGGTGGAAACTAAAAACCACATTCAGAGGTAGGAGAGGGAATTATGGGAGTCTAGTGCGAAAAAAAGATGGGTCCCCCTGGGCCACGGTAACCAAGAACATCTGTTCATTGAGAGCATTCAAAGATTTGTCAAGATTCACGAAAGAGACAAATAATTTCAATGTGAGGAGCCGGAAATCCATTTTGCTTGGCTCGAATAGGTTAAGAACAAGGGAGCAAGGGTGAGAGCATCATTTCGTATCCACAGGGTGTGAAGCTGAGTCTGGTGCAGAGAGAGAAGCCCGGCTCTGCGTCCGATCGCCACGATCCGGCGAGGGAGCCAGCTCCTCCTCCCCGCTGCGCCCGCTCCCCACGCCGCAAGCTGCCCTCACCTCCATCTCGGCGTCTGCGGGACCCGCGCTGGCCGCAGACGCAACCGCCTGCGCAGCGACGCCCTCGGGGCCGCCTTTGTTGCTGCTGTTGCTCCCGCCGCTGGCGGTCGAGGCTGCGGGCTTGGAAGGCGCGCTCTCGGGAGGCGGGGGTGGCGGAGGCTCGGCCGCGGACGACATGATGTTCCGTCTGCGTCACCCGCTGCTGCCAGAGGCCGAGTCCGGCGGGGATGGACGGGGAGGCCTAGGCCTGGGTGGCTACGTCGCAATAAACTGGTGGAGGAGCGAGACTCCCACCCGAGCGCTCCCCCGCGCCGCGCCTCCGCGACGGGCCTGAGCCGGGCCCAGGAGCTGCACACTCCCAGACGTTCTGCTCTTCCGCGGGGCTCTAGGTTCCACCGGCGCTTACCTCACGGCGGGAATCACGTCGACGAGGATGGGCGGGGCCAGACGGGTCACTGAGGTCAAGGAAGGCGGGCTGATTTAGAGAAGGGCGGAGGGTTGGGGGAAGGGAAAAGGAAAACGAAAGAGACTGAGGCTGGGAAAACGCTTCGCCGCCGCCTCCTCCTCTTCCTCTGGCAGATATCGTCTATCTCTCCAGCATCCAGGACGACTACCTACGCCACCGACTTTCAACCCTCGCGAGATTCCTTATTGGCTCACTGACTGGGCACTGAGTGCGCATGCTCATACTGTCCTCCTTACCCTTGGCCCCTCCTCCTCACCCTTGGCCCCTCCTCCTCCAGACCTCTAGCGGGCTCGGGAGAGAAGAGTAGGCGGGACCTCGAGGGAGCGCTCGGAGGCGTAGGTTTGTGCGTCTGCTGTCTGGCAGGAGGCGAGCTCAGTGTTTTAGGCTTTCATAACGGCTCACGGTTCTCGTTGTGTCTTCCGGGCCTGGCTGGGATCGGCGGCACTACTGGAAAACTTGCCCGAGTTTTGCGCTGCCCATTCAAACTTGGAAGTCTTGTGTCTGACTCCAAAACTTCTGCCGTATCCGCTTAGAGGCGTGACGCCACAGCCTTGACGACGTTATGGTTACCCCAAGTGACGTCTCACTGTTTTGTTAAAAAAAAAAAAAAAAAAAAAGTCCGTTAGTTTTTTCTTTTTTGGTTTTTGTGTGGTTTTTTTTTTGCCTTCTCATGTTAGCTGCGTCAGTTATTTCTAAATATCCTCTTTAAGCACAGAGTTAAATGCTATTTCTTCTGAATTTATATGCTAAAGGTAAGCAAATAACATGCACACTACCATGTAAGTGAGAAACACAAATAGTATGTGGGGAAGATAGGTGGTATGATGTAATCTTTTCCTCAAGCATCAAACATTAAAATTAAAACGCACTTTCTCAAGTGTTCAGCACTAATTTTGTATACTGCCTTAGGCAGCCTTCAGTGTAGCTTAAGGGCCTTGTGCATTCATCTCCTGCAAAATTTAAATACATTGTAGTCTATTTGATAACAAATCCGCATACTACAGTAGATTATCTGCCCAGCACAGGGTCTTATTTATCTTTTTTTTATTCGTCATATCCAGTATTCTATAAATGTTTGTTGAATAAAGGCGGCACATTTTTCAAGAGTTGAGGTTTGAGCTAACTGGTTATGTTGAATTCCAAACAAAAGGGATCTCCTTTGAATATATAGCCTGCAAATTTTTTAACTAATGGAATAATTCTTTAATTGACATCTGGAAAAATGTCCCCACTCCACTAGAAATGCTAGTTCTTAAACTGTAAGGAAATGTCTAAGGATATGTGCAAAGATAAATACCTACAATGATGTTCATCATACTCTTCATATGTAACTGCAAAAAGCTAACAGCAGTAGGCTGAATCCAGTATTAAAAGTTACGTCTTTAAAACTATCGTACACCCAGAAAATGAACTATTAACCTTTAACAACCGTTAATGTAGAATAATGGTTGTTTTGTTTTGTTTTGTTTTGAGGCAGAATTTCTCTGTCGCCCAGGCTGGAGTGCAGTGGTGTGATCTCGGCTCACTGCAATCTCCAACTCCCGGGTTCAAAGGATTCCCATGACTTAGCCTCCGTAGTAGCTGGAATTACAGGCGTGCACCACCATGCCCAGCTAATTTTTGTATTTTCAGTAGAGACAGGGTTTTGCTGTGTTGGCCAGGCTAGTCTCAAACTCCTGGTCTCAAGTAATCTGCTCCCCTAGACCTCCCAAAGTGCTGGGATTACAGGCGTGAGCCACCACACCCAGCCCCGAAGAATGTTAATTTATAAAGTGTTAACTGAAAAAATTTTTTTAACAGTTCAAAAATGTAGGTAAAAGTTGGAAGCATATTTACAAAAGTATTCAAAGTGATTGTTGCTAGTATTTCCTAATTATTTTTTGGCTGACTGCATGTTTTTCATTTGTATAAAATGAATTTGCCCTTTTTTTTTTTTTTTTTTTTTTTTTTTTTGACTGCAGCTTGCTCTGTCTCGTAGGCTGCTGTGCAGTGTCACAATCATGAGTCACTGCAGCCTCAGCCTCTGGGGTCCAGCAATTCTCCCACCTCAGCCTCTCAAGTATCTGGGACTGCAGGTGCATGCCACCACGCCCAGCTCATTTTTGTATTTGTTGTGTGTAGACAGGGATTGCCATGTTGCCTATACTAGTCCTGAACAACAGTTAGGGCTCAAGCCATCTACCTGCCTCAGTCTCTCAAAGTGATGGGATTACAGGTGACAGCCACTGTGACAGACTGCTGAATTTGCCTATTAAGAAAACTTTTTTAAAAAAATTTCAGCTTTGCTAAGGTATAATTGACAAAAATTGTATATAAGGCATACAGTGTGATGTTTTGATATATAAACACGTTGTGAAATGATTACCACAATCAAGCTAATAAGCATATCCATCATCTCTTATATTTACTGCCTGCCAGCATGGTGAGAATATTTAAAATTTACTCTCAACAGATTTCAACTATGCAAACAGTATTATTAGCAATAGTTACCATGCTGTACATTACATCTCCAGAAATTATTCATCCTGTATAACCAAAACTTTGTATCCTTTGACCAACATCTCCCCATTTTTAGAAAACTTATTTTTAATTTTAAAAAATGTTCTTTCACTGAAAAAAAAAATTATGTGAAAGGGTAAGAAAGTAGCATCTAGGGTGGAACCTGACACGTAATAAATGCTTGATGAATAATTTTTTGTATTTACATTAAATAGACTAAAACATTACTTTAGTACTCAAAATATTTCTTCACTTTTTATAGTCTTAGGTAGAAATCTTGGGTCTTGGTCTGGAAACCCTAAAGTTATACGTAGGTATATAAATGGAAGGATCTTAAGTCTGATAGCTATTTAAAGAAAGCAATAAATAGCAAGGAAAACAATGCACATAAATAAATAAAAATTGCATCCAAAATGGTGATTGTCTTTTAACATGTGCATTTATATGTGAGTTTCTCATATGATCATATGAAAGCTGTGTTATATTTGGGGGGAAATTATAGAGAAAAGATAGAAACTAGAAAGAGGACACAGAATGTTCGGACTCAGTTATCTAGCATGAGTGATAGAGAAAAAGATTTTTGGCAGAGTTCAGAACCAGAAAGGAAAAGCAGAGAAGAGCTACAGAAAAGACAGGAAGCCTAGAAACAGCTACAGGGACATTAGCTGTGTTCCTCAGGCAGATAGCAGTACTAATGTGGTGGCCAAATCACAAAATCCTGCTAAAAGGCTAAATCTAGCAGCTAGTTGTTGAAGTGATCACATAATACAGAATTCATGTGTTGGTAAAAGAGTGGGTTGGGGAGCAGGCAAGCCTAGATTCCAGTGCAGGCTCTAAAACTTAGTAGCTGTGTGAATGCAGACAAGTTATCTAACCTCTTCGAAATCAGTTTTCTCATCTTTTTATTATTATATTATCCTAGCTTTATTTTGAGATAATATTCTTACTATGATGTCATAAAATTAAATGAGACAGTGCAAGGTGCATGATACAGTGCCTGACATATAGTGAGCTCTGCGTTCAAGTATCAGATAGTCTTATCCTTGAGAATCATAAGCCTAAGGTTCAGAGTCTAATTGAAAGGAGGAACCAAAGAAGAAGGAGGGTAAGGGGTTTGGTACCAAGAAAACACCAGAAAGGATTAGAGCTTTAGCCATGTTCCCAGCAACAGAATGCTACAGTGTAAAATAATGTTAGTATTCTATCTCCAATATGTATATACACAGTTTACACCTAAAATTTCCTCTGTTAGATTTAATGTGCTAGAACAGCATGTACAGTACAGAAAGACAATGGAACAAAGAGATGTTGCCAGAGGACAAAAATGTGCCAAAGAGCCAGGGCTCTCTCAGCATTGTGTCCTTGAATGGTAACAGAAAGGAGTTAATGTTTTCTCAAGGACAAAGAAGAAATGCAGCACCTCTCTTCGTTGCAACTCCTTTTGTCAAAGCCTAAGAAAATAAAGTCTGATTACTGCAAGACAATAAAACCATATTGAGTTTGTATCTAAGAATGGGTATTTCCAACACTGGATACCAATGTTTACACCTTGTATGTATCTTTTTTAGAGTTCTCCCACATAGGTCATTTGTCAGTGTACAGAGATTTCAGTTAAAGAGAAACAACAACTGTACTGTTAAATAGGTAAGGATATATTCCCTTAATTCCCCTCATATTTAGTCAACAACTAAATAGTGGGAGACTTTATAGCTGCTTGGTATGTGCACATATGTTTATGTAGTCAAAGTTTTTCAGGTTTTCTCTGCATTTCTTCCTGCTCATGAAAAAATAATTTCTTTTTTGTTGGACTGGTTGTAGGTAAAGTATTCCTAGGAACTCAAATATTATGATCCAAAGTTAAAATTTTATCCACCATCTTAGAAATATTTTTGAAAGAATAAACTACAAAACTTCAATTAAGAAATTAGAGATTTTTATTTAGTTCTTATCTCATTTATTAAAAGGAACTTCAGACAAAGGAAATTAGGCAGTCTTTTGCTCAAAATATTGGAAGTAAAATGATAGAAAAGATTAATCATTAAAACATTAGTAAACAGAAAACAGGAGTGGCTATATCACCAGATAAAGTGGACTTCAGAGTAAAGAAAATTATGAGACAAAGAGGGACATTATATAATGATGAGAGTATCAAACGAGAAATCTTTATGTACCAAACAACAGCTGCAAAATATGTGAAGCAAAAGCTGACAGAACTGAAATTAGAAATAACAAATCCACAATTATATGTGGAGACTGCAGCATCTCTCAACAACTGATACTACAACTAGGCAGAAAACCAGCAAGGGTATAGAAGAACTTAACAACAGCCAATAAGATCGAATTGACATTTATAGAACACTGCACACATTTTTTTTCTTCTACGAAAGTAGGACTACACACATTCTTTTCAAGAACCCACAGAAAATATAGCAAGATAGACCATAAACCTTAACAAATGTAGAAGATTTGAAATCATACAGAGTGTGTTTTTTAACCACAATGGAATCAAACCGGAAATCAATAACAAAATGTTACCAGGGATATATTCAAACTAAATGACATGCTTCTAAATAATCTGTGGGTCAAAGAGAGGTCTCAAGAGAAATCAAAAAGTACATTGAACAGAAAAAAATACAATATATTAAAATTTGTGGAACACAGTTAAAACAGTGCTTAGAGGGAAATTATACACTAAATGCTTACATTCAGAAAACAGAGTAGTCTAAAATGCAAGCTTTCACCTCCAAAACCCAAAAAAAGCAGAGCAAGAATAAATCCAAAGTAAACAAAAGGAAGGAAATAATAAAGGTAAGAGCAGAAGTCAATGAAATTAAATATGGAAAATAAAAAGCAAAAACTGGTTCTTTGAAAAGATACATAAAATTGGCAAATCTCTAGGAAGTCTGACAAGAAAGGAAGAAAGGAAAAAAGTGGGAAAGAAGGAAGGAAGGAAGAAACAAGGCTCAAATCACTAATATCAGGAATAAAACAGGACCTATCATTGTAGACCCTGAAAACATCGAAAGAGTAGTAAGGGAATACGACACACATAAATTTGACAACTTAAATAAACTACTTCCTTGAAAAATACA